TCGTTTTACGTGTCGTGTACACGTGTTCCGAGTTTATAAAAATCAATAAATGAATTCCTCCTTTCATCAATTTTAATAATTCGACATTTATAATCCGTGTGTTACACCATCGTCGCCGAAAATTCTGCGACACGCGATCCGCTCTTATCGAATGTCACGTGTGCCGAGGAGGGAGGTCACGGGGGTTAATTAATTCGCGCTTCCGATGGAATTCCACACCGGTGACTAAGCTACTAACCGAGTGATTTGACATTAAGGCCATCACGTGATGTAGAGATGTGACTTTCTCGTGTACAGTACGTGACGCGTAGAGAAAAGCTAGTGAAGGATTAGTGTCGGCACACGAGAAAGCACACAAGGAAAAGTAAGAGACAGCGCGGAGGAGACATTGAAAAAGAGGGGTGAACCGTAAAGACCGTAAACGTGACACCGGACCATGTACGTGACGAATACTGTAACTTCAATTATTCGCGGGTCTCCCGTATACAACTGGCAAGGGACTTTCGACCACCGTACGTAGTCGATACGGGGTTAGAAGAAGTGCAAAAACAAAGATCCAAGTCATTTTCGTTAGTGTGACCGAAATGCTCTCTGCATGGCGCCACGCAACATTGGAAACTTCTGAGAAAGTTGAAACACGAGATGCCTCTTGCCCCGAATCTTTAACTTACTAATAAGTTCCCGCCACGAGATATCCCCAAATGGGTCATCCGACGCTAACTTTCTTTTTTTCGTTTCTTTCATCCCCTCTCAAGGATTTTTTTCGTCACGTGTTTGTCGTTAATGACCATTAAAAATGCCGCTTTGAAAATTTAACAAGTGCTTAAAAACTAGTAAATTTATTATTTTTTTTTAAATTATCGTATTATAATCGCGCCCACTTCACTCCCCAATGCGCTGTTTTCCGCACGTGATTTTCGACTGTCCTAATTAAGCGCGTCACGTGTTTCTCGTGTAATTCGATTTGTCGAAACGGTGTCGCTCACGTGACCAAGCAAGGTACTTTTGAAAATTTTCCAGTCACGTGATTACAGTTATTTTATTTAAATTGCGTCACGAGATCCGTACAAGTGTTTTATTGGGGTATTAAGTACGCATTCCCCTAGGCTTCTCTCGTATTTTCTCCACCGAAACGGGTCACTGGGTTACGTAAGGAGGAAAATGCCATCCACGTGATCGTACACTTATCTTTTTCGATCACGTGCGTATTGGCGCCACATTTTCCTTTCCAAGTAACCCAGTGACATGTCCGGTCGAGTGATTAGCATTTAAATTGTTTCGCCGTTAACCTAACGAAGTTACGCTCCGGTAGACAATATCTACCATCTAATACCCACGTGCGTTGGCAATTATACGTCAGCGTGACGTCTCTGTAGTCAAATGATTGTTACGATGATAAATGTGTCTTAACATGATAACGAACGTAATTAACTCCACGGGAGTAACGTTTTCAATTATTCAAATACACCAGAAAGATGCTCATTTTAACACCAAAACGTCACTAGAGTAGTGTTTAAAAAACATATGCCAGAAAGAAAGACAATTTTGCGTAACGTTACGGCCGTGTAGATCCACTTTAGGATCACTGGCGACAACAATTCACAAAATGCAGTTATAGGAGAGGGATGTTAACAAAACGAACTGTTTCGCTAACAGCTGTCGAGTGTGTTAAAGTCAACACGGTTAATGCCGACTCTGTATTTCGACACCCGAATTTTGAAATGTTACACAAAAGTAACATTGTTTCTGCTACTGAATAGCTATGATTGTAAGGTCGGGGCGATTATCTCTTCGTTCATCTTCTTCTCTCCTGGTCAGCTCAACCTCGACTGTGACACCTTACTATTGGCTAATGTAAAAGTAGAAGTGGACATCGTGGCTTTCTATTTGTTCAAATTAAAAAAATATATATGGCGTAACTTTCTGTGTTTTCGAATGTAACGCCTTGTATAATTACAAGTGAATTTTTTCCTTATAAATTGGGAAGGATAGCTGCAATCTGGAGGAGGAAAATGATTTTTTTTTACTGTTTTTTTAAAATAAAAACTCATTATTTTTGCCTTCTTGACAGCTCTTCATCATCTGGATTATAGGAAAAAAAGCTCTTCTATCAATTTTCTTACAAAAAACCTCGCGTATAGCAACTTTTTATAAATTTAAAATGGCATAAGGACAAAAAAAGTGGGGCGCGACACTAAGTGTCATTAACAATATCTTTCTTTTTTTCTCCCTCAGACTTTTTTTAATTACTTTAGATAGCACTTCAACATTGAGAACGTTCCCTCATATTCGGGTCTAGATAGAAATTTTGCCAGGCCCTATAAACGGAAGGGCCTCAAATTTAGTCTCTTACGCACGCGACATAAATTAAAATTTCTCTTGATGAGTGTGAGTGATGATAAAATTCTGTTTTATTCGTATATTTTTATGGCTTTCAGAGAGGGGTGAGGCTCTACATTTATGACTTTTCTGGGCCTCATCGCTTCTCCCTCGGAGTGTATCAGCTAATATTGAGTGATATATAGATTTTGACATGAAAAAAATATTGTATATCTCTGGAAATTTTATATTATTTTATATATATAAAAAGCATTTTTATCTGGTTATATTTGATATCAAGAAGGGGTTAATGACAGTTACAATGTGTTTCTGTGTAATGGAGAATAATGATAAGCATTTATTGTCTAAGAAAATAAAGAATAAAATAGCTTTTGAACATCTGGAAGTATCATCACTCATCATCTCGTCAGTATCAGCAATTAAAATGTATAAAACCTATCATTAGTATCAGTTACTAACGAACAGTAATGGATGCATTCCATCACTCTAACGAAATTTAATTGTTTCTAGTTAAATTGTTCTAATAATTAGCAGAAAATTGCTTTTTTTATACTCAATAAAGTTGAAATAAATGCAACTAAATATTTTTTTAATAATTAGAAGTATTAAATTAAAGAAATTGGACCTTAAAAAGTAAGAAAATTGCTTCAATCTGGATCACGTGTGAGCTAGTATCTGTGAATTCTGTGCCATTCTATCACCTTGTTTCTATAATATATATATACACTGTTTGCACATAAAAACACTAATTTTTAAAATTAATTAATTAATAGATTAAGTGGGTCATCACATTGTTTTCGTACTTTAGAAGAAAATGAGAAGTGCTGAATTTGATACGCGACGCGACGCGACGTGACGTTGCGTCGCTTGTGGAGACTGAGAAAGAGAATCGTGTTAATAAAAATCAATCAAAATATAATGGAAAATATTAAACTTTAAGCAAAACGTGCGTATTAATGCATGAAATTAATTATGCGATTAATTTATTTTTGTATCGTTTCNCAATATAAACAAGTAAATCATGATTAGTTCAGTTGTTAATACATAGAAGAAATTAACACCGGAAATAAAAATAAAAATCGATTTCAGAACGTTCGATTGGCGAGTGCGAAGAGAAAAAGAAATAAAAAGGAAAAATTGTTATCTAACAATCGATGCTTAAATCATGAAAGGCAAGAAAAAAATGGCACTCAATGCCCCCTATTATGCAACGTGTTGGTTTTAATAAATTAGCATATTTACCGGTACATTGTTAATGTAACAAAGAGGCAACGAACCGTGCAACCGTGACTAGAGACCAGATATTGTTTTACTATCGAGCCATCGCCACTATCTCTCCACCAAGCTGTCCTCACGTTGTTACTAATCACGATCCGTTGTGATTAATTACAAACTTTCGTGAGCCATCCTTCCGGCGGTCACGTGGACCCAAGCTTTTTTTATTTTTTTAAGTAAACCTCTATAAATAGAACAGTTTCGTTCACCTATACTCAAAACGTTGTTTATACCGAGTTTAACCCCTGTTAACCCACAGGCTATTCGGTGCTAGTGAGAAATATCTTCAGTGTGGCAGTTCCATTATGGAGCCAACAGCGATCATTAATCAACAGGCGAACCTGTCAAGAGCCAAATCAATTTGTTAGCTCTTTTTTATAAATTTTTTCCGTTCGTAAACGTATCTCGAGTCCCAAAGTTTTAATCATTTCTTCATCTTTCCGGCAGCCAGTTCTTTTTTCATTCGATTCTGACGTAGTTACGTTTCGTATTACGTCGTGGGTTATGGTTCACAACAGTCTATTTTCATCTTTTATTGGCTGCACTCGCATCCCGGTGTGGTTGGTAGTGAAGTAACTACTGGCAAATACGGAGGGACGATCTTACTTTCCCGTAGCGCCAGGGGGGAGGAGTAAGGACATATTTTATGCATTTGGCCTGCGTTACCCGATATCTACTGTAAGCAATACGTCAGCTGGGTCTGACTCCTTTGCGAGGTCCCACACTTCGGCATTAAATGAGATCGAGGAAGCGTGGAGAAAACTGTTAGCGTGTTAATGTAGCGTCGTTCTTCGTGATGTACCTGAAAAAGGGGGACAATTAATACGACCTCCTCCTCTCAGACGCGATCTTTATGGAAGTTTAAGTAATTGGTAGCGTAATAAATAGAATACCCGACTGAGGCCCGAGGGGTAAAGTATTTTTTAGTGAGGCATCTGCCATACAGATGTAGCGGAGGCAGGTGATTTAATTTTCTAATGGCTCTATCTCTTATAAATCGTGCGTGCCCAGTTTTCCGTATTACGCACTTGTTGCACGGTTGATTTATGGAACCGCGCGAAGTCCGAAATTGCCAAAAAATACCCAATTATACAAGAATTTATTTTTATATCGGGGTTTTTTTACGACGAAGCGAGGCGTTTCCTCTTCAGATTCCTCACAAAGCATAAGGGATGTCGTAAATTACGTTTTATAAGATTTTGTACAGATAAGAGAGTTAACTGACCATTTTCTGGTGTAGATTTTCGTGATTTTTTCGAGAAAAAGAAAATTATTCCATTAAATTTAAACTTTAAATAATGCAAAGTATTTAGGAGGTTGCTAAATATAGTGTGGAGAGAGTGCGAGTGAGTGGAAGAAAGTTAACACGTAAAACATTCTCTCTAGCTTAACATTGATTTATTTAAAATTCATGTAAAAATATATATGTATATACATATTTATAATTCTCGCGCTATTTTTAAATTACAGGTAAACACACTAATTTTAAGGCGTCGGAAAACGTACACGTATACAAATTTTCTAAAATGAACTGTACCTATTAATAAAAGTACACGGAATAGGAACAAATTGGTACATTTGGTTAAAGGTTTACACTTTTTAGTCTTTGAGCTAGTTTAAACGGTAGTTTCGTTGCCACTTTTGTTTAGTGGCCTCTTGCATCTATCTACAACCAACCGTTGCTTCTGTGGCACCATGTGGATGTACATGGGCATCGGCCTTTCTTTTCCATTAAATCTGTTATAAAACTTCTTCCATGTGTTCAACGGGCTCTTACTCGACCATATCCATAGCCCCGTAGTTATGCCAACCACCAACGACATGAAGATCTCTAGCGTAAACACTTCCACATTTGGCCTGCTGTTGGAACCCGCTGCCAGCCACTTATCCCTGGAGTAATATTCGTAAAAGTTTGCAGCCAGCACGCACAAGGCCGGTACTATGTAAAGTACCGCAAAAATACCAATTCTGATGGTTAAAATATCTAATTTTTCCACTTTGCAACAATTGTTGCGGTGGTGTGTGTGAAGAGTCGGCGAGTGTTTTGATTTTAATATATAATAAAGTCCAGCGAGTAAGAAGATGGAACCGATGATCAGGTAAACAAATGACGGGACGATGACGAAACCGAGTAAATTTTGGGGGCTCTGATTGCCTACGTAACAAGTTCCGGTCAATTCGTCGGCGTCGACCACTCTCAAAACTAGTATGGCGATGGTTTTCAGGGTGGGGAGTGACCAACCGAACATATGAAAGTAAGTACAACGTCGTTGGATAGCTTCGTTGTTCCACTTGAGACCCACCGAGAGGAACCACATGATGGTTAGAATAACCCACCAAACCGCGCTGGCCATGCTGAAGAAGTAAAGGAAAACAAAAATGATGGTGCAATTGATGTTATCCAGGCCTTCCTGGATCAAGATGGGCACTCCGTGCTGACTGTCCTCGTGACAGGAAACCTCTTCCCGCCCCGCCACTAAACGTATAAAGTAGGCAACACTGTAAACGTTATACGTACCGCTTATGAAGACTATGGCCCTCTCCGGGTAGCGGAATTTGGAGGAGTTGACGAGGAAGGTAAAGACGGTGAAAAGCGTGGAAAGGAAACACAAACCGGACCATACCGTAACCCAAATCTCTGCAAAGTTCTTGTTGTCTCGACTGAATAACACTTCGGCGTCGCACGTTTGGGCGCAACGCCCCGTGCGATTGATGTAGTAGAAGCTTTCGACTTTGTATCCACTGCACAGTCCGTAGTGTTGGCTGTAACGATGCCTGTAAGAAGGCTTGGTAGGCACGTTAATGCCTCGATCGGCGAAGCGTCTCGAACCGTAACCGTGAAGTTGGTGATGATCATGTCCCGTCGGTTCCGGTCCCTCCATACACATGTGTACGTCGTTGTTTTCGGACGGAAACTTGCTACACTCTAAAGCTGAAGGCCAGGGAAAACCAAATTCCTGTAACACCGGTTGACACCTGGCCTTAACGTCCTCGCACAGAGGAGCGCAAGGTCCTATAGTCTGTGGCACCTTCTCCGTACACATAGGAACGTAAATAGAGCACAGAAAAAAACGTAACCTGGACGAACAGCCGTATTGTATCAGAGGTGTGAAGGTTTGCAATTGCAGCTGGGCGTCTTGTTGAAGTTCGTGTCCCACTAAGTTGGGCATTCCGGTGACATTATAACCCAAATCCTTACACATTTCGATTTTGATGGGCTCGCACATCGGTGCCATTTCCGTAGCATAAACCGAAACCGCCAGAAAGGTTAACAGCAGCGGAAACATTTTCGCCGACTGTAGCCGTACCAGGGGGACCGAAACGAATAGCCACGCGTCACATCAGGCAGGCGCCTCGGACGGCTCTGAGCACCAACTTTTAACTTGCTCCCCGGTCGGTCCGTGCATCTATTATCACTAGCCAATGGGATGGAGCCGTGGCCACACCCTTCTTCCACCCCACCCCACAATCTTCCTCTTAACGAGACTTCTGATATATTGCTTGGCGTGTCACGTGACCGGTGATGTATGCCGGAGGCCATGCGTCCCAAGTAGTTAACTAAACAGTTTACGGTCTCTACGTTCGGTCGTTATTATTTTTTTACGACGGGGAGGAGATCGTTCGTATCGTGGTCTTCTTTAAAAATCTCCACACGCCGTACACCACTAGAAATACCTAAAAAACCCGGTACGACTTTATGTCTTTTATAAATGCAAGAGCCGAATTGTAGCCAGTGCACGACCCGACGTTAAAGAACGATTTGGCACGACTTACAACGCACGAGGACCAGTGCGACGACGTCACTTTATAAAAAGAACACCGCGCAAGCGGCACGTCTTACAACCGGTAATTTTCTAGGTATTACGTGTGTTACTAAGCAAATATAAGGCTAAAAACATGTCATCATGCATACCATGACAGCCTAATTATAACTCAACGCCGGGTTAATAACGATGTACCCTTCAACCGGACCGTTAGCGCAGGCCTATTATTTACCGATCTCGTTTGGTAAGTGTTTATCTGTCAGCCCGAAACTTCTGATACACTTTAAAAAAAAGTTCAAAAATGGAGGAATGATTTTCCTCCCCCTCTCGCGCGGAATTTTTTAAATGATTCAGATAAAAAAAAGTAAAGGGAGGGAGGAAAATGCATACCGAAAGCAACTAGTCGATCGACTGTTATCGAGTCGTTAAATGGGATTTTATGGGTGTGTTTACGACTTCAGATTTTTACGCTTTGTATATATAATGCAGTTTTTAAAGCCCGTTTCGAACGTGTAACGCATGTTCGATCCGGATCCGGCATAAAAACGCGATTAAACTCGACAGGAAACTAACGTTTCATTAAGTAACATTAATGTGCCGTACATTTGCTAAGTTCGCTGGATTTACAGTTAACACTACTAAAGTTTGGCACGTGAAAGTGGATTATAGACCGCATCACATGGTATTTGTAGATAAAAACTACTTTTTCGTCTTCGTGGTTTCTGTGCATGATTAAAAAGGGCACGTGGCTTCTGCTAGTGTGCATTCTCTCATCTGGATAAGTGTTTCTAGCCTTTAAGATGGACAGGAAAGGTGTATTAGAGTTTAATATTAAATTGTAGTGATTAGGGGTATAAAAACTGACAACTCAAGTAATTCAAAATTAAATGTATATTGTAACAAAAACGTAGTGATGTTTTGCATTGTATTTTAAGTATGCAACGTATAGAAAACAATTACAAACAGCATAGACCACTGGTCTTTAACAAGCACTTACAGTATATTTTAAATAAGCCATAATATTCACTTACTAAAACAGCACTTTTTTTTTTGGTTTTTTGGTTTAATCTTCATATATTTTGAAACATGGCAGAAATCCACCTTAAACACTCCGTTATACATCAGGCACTTTTTTGTCGACAGTCACAATTATTTTTTAAATCTACATTTTGAGCATTTATTGCTCTACACATCGATGTACCGCCGTAACGTTGTCTCTTCTGGAAAATTGTTGGTCCGTACCCGGGGAATGTCTGAACCGACGTTGCTGTATATCTTTACTTTCTTTTTTTTTTAAATTCTGAGCTGCATATATACTGTATATATATATATAAACGCGTGTTTATATATATCTCGAATTACAACACTTGTCAACAAATCAACGGGTAAATCAACGTCGCGTTAAATCTTTGGTTAACTTCGCACTGTAGCCATGCTTTTCGGACCCATGTCTGTGGCCCAATGCTCCGGCTGCCACCCGAAAAGCCTCGACTACACCCTCTGATATATATATACTTTTATATATATTGTTCATAAACTATAAGAATTAATGATCAACAACCGAGTTACACAAAAAATCTGAATTTCTTTGTTTACAGGAGACAATTTGCTTCTGTGAAATTTAAATATTAATATAATGGTGTTAACATAAAATTAAAGAACAAGCAGTCTTTGAGGAACAGTTAGAGTTCTGCCGTGATGGGATGTCGAGAGAAATGCCCGAAGACCCCTACTTCTGCGGCATTTGTGGATCTAAGATTACCACGGAGGACTTTCGACCGCCGTCGAGTGGCAATACTTTTTCCCTTATTGATTCTGGCTCTGTGATAGTGTATTTGGGCGAAAGCAATTTACCTGTAGCTGTGTATTTTAATACAGATTGTTTTCTTTGAAATGTTACGGTGCAAACAAGTAAGTCTAAGTAACAATTAAGCATGGTAACAACAAGTAAGCCTAAGAAAAAGGCAAACAGATAATGACAATCTAAAACTGTTGATGTCACAAATCTCATCTTTTGGTTACTTGGATAATTGTTTGATCTGTTGCGCTGGAATGATATATTTATATATATATATAATATATTTTGGATTTTTCTCTCGGAGATGGTCGGGGATTAAATATTCCTTATTCTACCTCTTTAAAGGCCTCCGACAGGACAAGTCTTTCTTTATACATGTGCACGGTGACTAACATCTTTTGTTTATTAAGAGAAGGGCTTTATGTGTTCGAGCTGAATTTCCAGGGCAATCCGTTCTTCCATTATTTCGGATAATTCTTGATTAAGTTCGCTGTTGAGGAGAGAAAGCATCATGTTCCGCTCTCGATGCGCCCTGATGGCAGATTGTATCTCTCTCTTGTCTCGTGGAACAGAACTGCAGAGAATTTACATTCGATTTTTTATTGATAATACTCCAAAATAAATCTGAATGAGAAAGAGTGACTTACGTGATGGTGGTGGCGGCGAGTGCGAGAGGAGGAGCCGAAACGTGGCGTCTTCTGTCCATCAGTGCATCTTCCGGATGCTCTATTTCGACCAGTAATGCCGTATTGTCATCAGTCGGTGATAGAGATGTTAATATCTACAATCAAACAGAGGAAATTAGTAATAAATTCTCGGCTCTAATACATTTTTAAATTTTAAACACCTACCTCGTCAGAAAAGTTTGTCAAACCGCTCGATGCATTAATTGGCACGCTATCTATTAAATGAATAAAAACAGAATACTTAATATTGCATATAGTTATGTTATAATAAACCGAAATAAAATCTTACTTGTGTGTGTAAAAGGTTTCTTATAAATTTCAAATGCACCTGACTGAAAGACAAAGAATTTTAATATCATTGTATAATCACTTTCATTTTCATAGCAGTAAAATTACCTTTAACTGAGGTTGGGAATTTGCACCGAGATCTGTACCGGATTCATCAAATTGAGTAAAATCGGCAAAATCGGTATTATCGTCTTGGATTAACTGAGATTCTTCGGATCCGAGTGCCCCAATAAATTTTTTGGGTGTTGCCTGAAAATAAATGCTGTAAGTGCCAACTAGAACATTCTGGATGGTTTCTTTAATTAAAAAAAACAAAAGAGAGTTAGGAATAACAAAATTTGATTTCATACCAAAATCATTTTACAAACACACTAATTGGTACATAATTAATGCAAAACTGGCCATACACTTACATTTCAGACAGTATGTAAATGACTAGTCATGATACAGTTATATACCAAGTAATATCACTTGAATGTCTTAATAATCACAACTGCAGTATCCTATAAAAAGGCTCACAGAGGCTGTGTTCAGAATTTTCGCTTTACTTGTTGTTTAGAGGTCTTTAAATAGTAAGTTCATAAGATGCAGTCAAAGACATTAAGTGTAAGGGGAAGTGCAATTCACTTTACAATAGGATTCTGGGAATCCTCGAGGCCACAATGCAAGGATCATTTACAATAAAAAGCTCAGAATTAATGAAATAGCATTATTTTGTAACAATGTATCTGTATTATACTAATTTTGGTACGTTATAATTTATATACATTGTATATGCTGTATGTATATATAACAAACATGTAATCTGTTTAATTATTGCTTTTTAACTTCAATGCTTTATATTAGAATGAAAAAGAAGGAAAATATGCTAAGAAAGTAAAAATATTTTTTTAAAATTAACTGATTTGGTTTCTTCAGAAATTTTTTTCTGTAATTTATAATAAGTTTTACAGAGGATATAAGCTATAGGATCTGTTTGATTGTACTCCAAACATATATATGATAACGGAATACTTATATATATAAATATAAAAAATTGATTCTTAAAGTATCAGAAATTCTGATTATACCTACATATAATTAATTAGCATTTTACTATAAAAAATATGTTCATACTACACTTTATGACACAATATTTATAAGAAATGTCATGAATTCAGTGAATTTCACCATTTCTATCATGAAAGTTTTGTTTCAGACTGATTGTACAAATTATAATTATTATATAAAAATTCTTTCTTCATTTAACAGATATTGAACTCAAAATCAGCCTTGACAAATATGATGTACAAAGAAGTTTCTATTGGTCAATTAACAATAAAATTAAAAAACAAAATTATAAAAATGTTCTGTTAACATCACTTGGCATTCATGAATTTCACACATGATTTTCATATACAATAACATAGAAAAGAATATTTGGAATAGCAGGTAATTTGGCATTTATTTACTATACTTTATGTTATTATTATTTTATTAAAAAAGAAAAAACTAACATTCCATACTTACAGTACTTGGCGACATCCTTGGTGGCACAGCTGGAGGTACACCAAGAAAATGTGGTACTGTTTTACCTACAGAAAGAATGTGTGTATAACTCACTGTTGTTTTTGCTTTATAATTTTGTATCATCATCAAAATTTTCTTTTATTTTTATACTGAAAATCAACTTACCTAACCTATTTAAATCTAAAGAGGAACTTCTGGCATGATTGTGTCGTGGCCTAGGCGGAGGTGGTGGTGGCGGCTCTTTCTTAGGACCCTGTGGCAAATTCATAATATTCTGTGTAGTGGTATTACTGCTACTTGTACCAGAAAAGGAACTGAAAGAAAAGGAACAATTAATTAAATAAACGTAAAATTAATTGTGAAAATTAAATAATCTTTCAAAGACTTTATAATTATAATTAATTTCCGATTGAAGTTAATAAAGACAGAAAACTTTGTAAAACTATATACAGAAATTCTTTTAAAATTATAAGTGATACTCTTATCAGTTAGAGCATATTATACAAATATTTTAAATAAAAAATTATTCAAGATTGTATTCAAGGCTGTATTGTAATTTATTGAATGGATATCTTATTACAAACAAACAAAAATTTACGATTACATAAACACAAATATTCTTACTGCCTTTTTTAATTTAGATTATTGGTTGAAACAACATCAAATATTTACCTTTAGTCCAAAAACTAATTGCCAAAACTACACATCATAAACCAGTATATTAATTTCATATTAATAATACATTGTCATCACATCTCAAAATTAAAGAAATTAATATTTCAAATATTAAATTGCATTTAACAAAATTTTGTTTATAGAATTTTCATAAAACATTTCATGTGTGGCTGTTATTTTGTTCATTTTAATTTTAAAATATTAAGCATTTATTGTATAGAAGTTGAAAAAAACTCTGGTTTATATGCAATCAAAAAAGCAGTATAGAATGTTTTTATTTAACATTATTTTTATTATTAATTTATATAATAAAATAATGTAAATCATATATAAAAATCATACAGAACTAATTTTAATAATAATAATAAAAAAATAAATAACTTTAATAAAGGAATTAATGAAAAATATATAATACAATTAATTACAATTTTGAAAATAAGAATAAGAAAATATTTCATTACACAGATTTTGTACATATTTATAATAAAACAAAGTAAACAGCAAAATAACCTGCTTATCATTGGAATTTTGTGAAATATATCTGTACTTTGATTAACTATACTTTTAAATTTTCCAAACAAATTACTTTAGTAGCTGTTTAGAGACATTTAAAAATTCAAAGAAGAAAAAAAATAAGTAGCATTTAAAATATTAAAATTAGCAAATGAAACCAGAATGTTTGTCTATTAGGAAATAAAATGATTAAAGTTTTTTAGACTGAAAAGTCAAAAGATAAATTTCAACATGTCATTAGTTTAATTTTGTGACATCAAAAAACTGAAAGGGTCCAATTAACATTTTAAAATACTTCTCCTGCAGCATTAAAATCACCAAGAAACTATCTTAAAAGATTAAAAATCAATAGATGATTGCAATACGAGTAGAAATGATATATTCGGGAATCATCACATAAAATGAAAGAACTTATAAATTTATAAATGTTGTTTTGAAATTAACTGATGCATTTTGAAATTGCTTTAATTAGATATTATTTCATTTCTAAACAGCATAAAGCTGACATCAATTGTCTATTTTATGGTAATTTCATAACTGGAAAAGAATCTTTATATTGAATAACCAAATAATAGCTTTAATAATAACTGGATACTTTAATAGAAATATAATTATTATTTTTCTTATCACTTAAAGGCTCAGGTGGCAAAGGGTTAACCAGTATATCCATATATTCAAATGTTTCTGGTTATTCACCAAAAATGTTTTTGGTTTCTTGAAGTCAATACAACTAGAATGATTACATTTTCAAAATTAGAAATTAGAATGGTTAAAAATTAAAAAATAAATTATTTCACACATGCAAAAGGAGCTATCACTCATTCGTCACAAGATACATTTAGAGGAGGAATTACAAAAATACAAATTCACATTTTTTTGGAAGAAAGTAACTGAAAATTTAATCTTTTTATTTATTCTATCTGATTAAATATGATTTAAGCATGTGAAAGAAAACCATATGAAAATATTTAGCTTCTATATCAATATGTAAATATCAAATTACAAATTTCTATCAATTAAAACTACTCACAATCTGATAAGGACAAGTTTAAAGGTACAGTAATACCTCGACTTACGCTACCCCGACTTACGCAAACTCGGAGTTACGCGATTTTCAAATCTCGTCGATTCGTCTTTTGTTTGAGCGCCACGCAACCCTTGATTACTCACTCCCTCCACACTATTGTTCAGCTTACATGTTCAGATGTGTCGCGCGGAATCCACACATAGCTATAATTTATTTTGTGTTATTTATTTCTGTGTTTGTTATATCTACGGAGACTTGAGAGACTCTACTATGTCATCCAAACGAAGTAGAACTAATTCTTCTGCATCAAACAAGAAAAGAAAAACTTTATCTTTGGAATGTAAAGTTAACATTGGGTATGTTCGTAAAGTCGAACGAGTTAAACGAGAATGACGTCATCGTTATTCCTATTTCGTTAGACTTTTCGAACGATTCGTTACTAACGCGTTTAACTCGTTTGACTTTACGAACGTACCCATTATTAAAGACTTCGATACAAAAATGAAAATTTGTGAATTGGCAAAGAAGTTTGATCTACCGGAATTGTCGGTCAGAACAATTATAAAAGGCAAAGAAAAAATTCTCGAAGCTGTGAAAAATGCTCAATCTTTAAATTCAAGCATCATTCGTAAACGTCACAGTATTATCGCTGAGATGGAAACAATGTTAAAATTATGGCGTAATAATCAAGTAAATGTGAAAAATTGTAAAATAATATAGGCCTAATTTGTTATACATATGTATTATCTAAGATTTTATTAAACATTTTTTTCTAAATTATTGTTTTCTTTAGTCTCCGGCCCCAATTAAAAATTATTTGTATGTATTTATATGTGAAATTATACCCCGACTTACGCTAATTCGACTTACGCAGTTACCACTCGGTCCCACCTATCGTGTAAGTTCGGGGTATTACTGTATACAAAAGGCAGGGATATATTTTTAAGCTATCCAAGAAAAAACAATATCAATGCCTTTTATTATGTTTCCACCATTTATAATTTGTTAGAGAAGAATGTCATTACTCAGAAGTTAAAAACCTTCTGAATTTAGCACAATAGACAAAAAAAAAAAATTCAAACATTATGAAACAGACCAAAGATAATTTAGGAATTAAGGAATAATTATTTGATATGGATGTGTATTTGTTCTGATAACCTAATCTTATTTAACCATATCAAAATATTAATTCCTGTGGTGCAGCTCAATTAGACAAAATTTGGAGGATGCTACTGGTATACAAGGATTTTTAGACCTATTGTCAAAAAATAGTTAAGTGCATGGCTGTCCACAGAAAATTTTCCAAGCCAAGAGGACAAGGCTTGGAGACAAATAATTAAAATCAATAAATTTTTTATTTATTTAATTTTTTGGGCATTCTCCTCCCACAAAAAGATTATAGAATACAGTATTGCATCAAAGCATCTCACAGTTGAGAGTGCAAGGTTACATATATCAATCACCCACTTTTATGATTATAATTTGTAAAATTCTTTTACTCAATCCCAGAAGGAGGCAATTATCCCATTTTCCCCCCTCTATGGATGCCCATGGTTAAGTGTTTTGAAAAGGGTTAATGTGTGTTATACAGGCACTTACATATTTTATTGTTTAATTTTTGTATTCGATAATCTATGATATGAAAATGTAAATTATTAACTTATCTAGTTTTGAATATTTAACTGTTCTAGCTGGAAATGGTTCCAATAAGGACAAAAATATATCTGATTTAAATAAAATATTTTGGTTGCATTAACCAGTATATTCATATGTTTCAAGACGAATCAGTACCATTTAGTTATCTCTAAAATTTTATATTTTTATAACGAGTTCTTGTTTCTATGAAATAAGAAAAATTGTCCGAATCAACAAACAAAGATTTAGATTAAACATTTGTGAATTGATCATGAGTATTTTAAATTAACACAATATATTAACAAAGACATTTGTTAGTTAATTAGTTGTATATTTGCCAACATATAAGACATACTCCATTTTCAGATGGTATTTTTCAAGAAAAAACATCTCTTATATGTCAGCAAATATGGTATTTTTGTAATATATTTTTGGTTGTTAGCATAGTATCGAATGAGAATTTAACCTAATTTCTAATGTGTTCTGAGTCAATTAGCTTTATATAGCTGGGATTAACTTGCTTACAAAATAAACTTTAAATGAAGAATTTATTCAGGATATTTAAGAAAACCTAAAACACACACAGTAATACACAGAAGCTATAATTCAATTTGAACTCAATATTCATTAACAGTAAAAATAAACACAGAGAAAGTAATCTCTAAAGGACAACTGTAATTATTTTTAGAGGAAAGAAAGGGTATACATCAGTATTGAGTGATTTTGAATTGAAGTCTCTTACCTTCTTCTGGTTTCCGAGGAAGCAAGTGAAGGCATAGGAAAAATTGTGCATATGAGACAGTGTTAGAGCAAAATTATCGTGTGGTACAAAAAATACAAAGCACTGCAATATCAAAAACTGTGCTTCTTAAATGAATGAACAGTAACAATACAAATTTGGAGTAGAAGTGCAAAATAAATATTTTATATAAAATTAAAATTAGTACCGTTTCTTTATGATTAATTTTAATTCTCAAAATTTATTTACACTATTAAAAAAAATCTATTAAAATTATTATTCATTTCTATTAAAAAATAAATACGAAATACAAAAATCAATAAGAAATAAGATTTGAAGTGTTGTAACTATTACATAAAGATTTACATTTAATCTTATAGAAATTTGATATGATAAAACAGGGTTTGTATAAAACAAAATGGAAAAAATGGCCAAATATTGGAATTTTTATTACCTGGCAGATACTTGAATATTGGCAGATTCAACATTTGTTTCTCCAGTCTGCAATGAATTTTGAGATGGAGGAGGAAGCGCACCTGGTGCTGGAGCTACAAAAAAATATTTCAAATCATTCTGAATGTAACATATTTAAAAATACAAAAAAACCACAATAAATCACTTTAAAATATTATTACATAATTAACAAAGCAATTTTATTATTATTAAGATAGATAGATAGATACAAAGGAAAATTAAATCTAGTCAGAAAGTTTTTTGAATATCCTCTTACAAGATATTTATCATAACACCTTCCAGGTTTATAACTTTAATTGGCCATTTGACATTTAGGTTACAACACTAAAACCCTGATTATCAGAGGTTCTGTATTATCTGAGGCAAATTAATAAGTGAATACACTACTTTTGTACTTTTGTCAGTGCTATCATTAGTCACTACAATGGGAAAGATTTTGGGAAAAAATATTCTGCATTTCAGTTAAGTCACATATCTGGACAGGTATGTTTTGCTTTTGTTAACTGCTTACAATAAATAAATATATGGGAATAAACAAGTAAGTAATTATACAATTCTTGTAATATTAAAAATGTAGATATCTAAAAAACTGCCATAATATATCGTATCATAACTTATAAATTTAAGTTATAAAATATGATACCTATATAATTTAAATAAAGGAATACTTTTCACCAAACCAACTGTAACATTATTATTAGTAAAATATAATAAGATTCATATTTTTTAAAATTTTATTTTACATAAAATTAAAATTTATTATTACAAATATTTTCAGCAGTTTATATTCCAAATTTATTTTTATAAAATAAAATACATTAATAAAGACATTGTCTAAAGCAATCAAATTTTTGCTCATCAAAAAAACTGACTGAGTAATATAATCTTAGTTCCTTTCAGTAGCCCAAAAACAAATACAGTAATACCCTGAACTTACGTGATAGGTGGGACCGAGCGATAACCGCATAAGCAGGGGTATAATTTCGCAATTTGTGTAAAATCCAAGTCGGATGTATGTAAGTTAATAAATGTTCTTGTTAATCTTATCTCGTCTTTTGATTCGTTCACGGTTACAAGAAATCACCACATAGTCTCTCAAGTCTCCGTAGATATAACAAACACAGAAATAGCCACAGTTTATTTTGTGTTATTTATGTGTCGATTCCTCGGGACACATCCGAACATGTAAGCTGAACAATAGTGTGGGGGAGTGAGTAATCATCAGTTGTGTGGCTCTCAAACAAAAGACGAATCAACAAGATTTGAAAATTGCGTAACTCCGGGTTCGCGTAAGTCGAGGTATTACTGTATATAATTATTAATAAATAGCAAATAAAAACACACATTGTAATTGTAAGATTTACTAGCTGTTACCCGTGGCTTCATCTGCACAGAATTTGCAATTTGATAGAAATAACCCTCCCTCAATACTTCACTAAGATTCTCAACATTTTGTTACTATAAAAACAAAAAATTACATCTAAAATAGTACAGTACAAGACATTCTTCAGGTTAAGCCTTAATCCTCTCCCTCGTGGGAGGAATTTCGAAAAATCCTTTCTTACTGTGCATTTTCGTACCCTAACTGTGTACCAAATTTCACCTCTTTAGGTTCAGCGGTTTGCTCTGGGTGATGATGAATCGATCAGTCACCCAGTCAGTCAGTCAGGACATGTAATTTTATATATCACAAGTTCGGACATGTGCACTGCATATCTCGCCTACCATGCCACTGTGCCGCACGGTTACCTATCTCATATACGTATGAATCTTGCCCCTCACCACCCACTGACACCAAAAATATAACACTTACCTAGATGATATCTTTTAATTTATATGAATGTTCAACGGAATAATATACAGACTATGTCCACCCTGAAGGTCCATTCTATATATTGGTGAAAGAATTTTTGAAATCAGATGAGTAGTTTCAGAGATTACCTCCTACATCCAAACTCTATAATATTAGTATAGAGTGAGACAACAAAAATGTATGTATGTACGTATGTATGTATGTATGTATGCATGATGAATATATAAATAAATATTCGAGTTATATCATTTTACAAGCATACCAAAATTATGTAAAGAAATAAGCATTTATATATGTTTTATCAGAAATTCTTTAATTTGGAAAGAATTATAGCATATGACTTTGAACACAAGTCACACATTCTAAATTTCTATTTAAAAACAAAGACTAATACAATAATTTTTTATACACTTCGCTACACTTAATTTTTTACACTTTGCTATAATTATGCAAAACAATAATGTTAATTTAAATACCGGAATGTTAACAGCGGAATGCTAGGAATTTTTTGTTAACCGTATAAGTGGCTCTTCAATGAGTTGACTGTTAGAACGTAGTTTTTGTGCTGTAAGCCCCACTGAAGAGGCCGTAGGCGAAATGCATTTGGGAAGCTTGTTAGTAATAATGTAAATAAAGGTTTTTCTCTGCAGATTATTTTCTTTTTTATACCTTTTTAAACTCTTTTTTTGAAAAATTTTTATAGTCACTATTAGCTTGTTTTTTTAAAAAAATTGAAGTTTTATATTATCCGAAAGTCAGAAGGGAAAGAAAAATATAATTTTTTTTGTAATTTTACATTTTATGTAAGAAGAAAATAAAAGAATAATTTTTTAAATTATGAATTGGTGGCACTCTTACTTCCACTCTTACTATGCAAATGGAATGCTTTTTTATTTCAAAGCTTCTCACATTCCAATAATGTATTATTAATATAGTAATCAATTTTCAACATTCTGAAGCATTTTTGTTCTCCACAGTACCTTAATTTTTAAAATCTGTTTGTATTTGGGGATAATGTTTCAACTAATAATGCCAAACACACGATGCTGGAAGATGACTTTCTACAATATATATGAATATTCTGTTTATTAATGTTAATGAATTTAATAAAATAAAATTAAAATATTTCAGTTTCATACTAGTATTTTCAACAGTTTCTTGCATTGATCATACTCAGGCAAATTTGAAAATCAAATGGCTCATTACGGAGCAATTTGAAAAAAAATCAAAATTATTTTAATATAATGTTTGTTTAAAACTAAGTATGTGTAAATACACAAATATTTAAGGTATACATAATTTTAAAGAACCTTAAAATTTAGCAGTTAAATAGTAATCAGGGAAAATTAATCAAAATTGGAGAAAGGATGCATGAAAATACACAAATGAAAGTGTTAAATGAACTAAGCCAAAGATGTCATCACTTTAAAATACCAACTAGCAAAACACACAAACTCAACCTAAGCAGCTGATAAAGAGAGATACAATGCTCTAGGAATTCTCGTGTAGGGCAGTTGCATGTGCCATTGGCAACAGCTCATAACACCTTCCATATATAAAGTTATTTCTGGTTGGAACACTATGGAGAAGTTGCATTTCTGTCCAAATAGACTTAAATGCAGATAAGGCTGCCCTAGCCAACTCAGTTGTGTGTTTGGCCTGCTTTATATCTATCTAATATTCATTATTCTTGACATAATGATATAATTGATGCAAGAATTTCCAGCATTGCACTTGAGTGAAATCGGTGGGACCGAGCGATAACCGCATAAGCAGGGGTATAATTTCNAATACAATTAATTACAATTTTGAAAATAAGAATAAGAAAATATTTCATTACACAGATTTTGTACATATTTATAATAAAACAAAGTAAACAGCAAAATAACCTGCTTATCATTGGAATTTTGTGAAATATATCTGTACTTTGATTAACTATACTTTTAAATTTTCCAAACAAATTACTTTAGTAGCTGTTTAGAGACATTTAAAAATTCAAAGAAGAAAAAAAATAAGTAGCATTTAAAATATTAAAATTAGCAAATGAAACCAGAATGTTTGTCTATTAGGAAATAAAATGATTAAAGTTTTTTAGACTGAAAAGTCAAAAGATAAATTTCAACATGTCATTAGTTTAATTTTGTGACATCAAAAAACTGAAAGGGTCCAATTAACATTTTAAAATACTTCTCCTGCAGCATTAAAATCACCAAGAAACTATCTTAAAAGATTAAAAATCAATAGATGATTGCAATACGAGTAGAAATGATATATTCGGGAATCATCACATAAAATGAAAGAACTTATAAATTTATAAATGTTGTTTTGAAATTAACTGATGCATTTTGAAATTGCTTTAATTAGATATTATTTCATTTCTAAACAGCATAAAGCTGACATCAATTGTCTATTTTATGGTAATTTCATAACTGGAAAAGAATCTTTATATTGAATAACCAAATAATAGCTTTAATAATAACTGGATACTTTAATAGAAATATAATTATTATTTTTCTTATCACTTAAAGGCTCAGGTGGCAAAGGGTTAACCAGTATATCCATATATTCAAATGTTTCTGGTTATTCACCAAAAATGTTTTTGGTTTCTTGAAGTCAATACAACTAGAATGATTACATTTTCAAAATTAGAAATTAGAATGGTTAAAAATTAAAAAATAAATTATTTCACACATGCAAAAGGAGCTATCACTCATTCGTCACAAGATACATTTAGAGGAGGAATTACAAAAATACAAATTCACATTTTTTTGGAAGAAAGTAACTGAAAATTTAATCTTTTTATTTATTCTATCTGATTAAATATGATTTAAGCATGTGAAAGAAAACCATATGAAAATATTTAGCTTCTATATCAATATGTAAATATCAAATTACAAATTTCTATCAATTAAAACTACTCACAATCTGATAAGGACAAGTTTAAAGGTACAGTAATACCTCGACTTACGCTACCCCGACTTACGCAAACTCGGAGTTACGCGATTTTCAAATCTCGTCGATTCGTCTTTTGTTTGAGCGCCACGCAACCCTTGATTACTCACTCCCTCCACACTATTGTTCAGCTTACATGTTCAGATGTGTCGCGCGGAATCCACACATAGCTACAATTTATTTTGTGTTATTTATTTCTGTGTTTGTTATATCTACGGAGACTTGAGAGACTCTACTACGTCATCCAAACCAAGTAGAACTAATTCTTCTGCACCAAACAAGAAAAGAAAAAATTTATCTTTGGAATGTAAAGTTAACATTAGGTATGTTAGTAAAGTCAAACGAGTTAAACGAGAATGACGTCATCGTTATTCCTATTTCGTTAGACTTTTCGAACAATTCGTTACTAACGCATTTAACTCGTTTGACTTTACCAACGTACCCATTATTAAAGACTTTGATACAAAAATGAAAATTTGTGAATTGGCAAAGAAGTTTGATCTACCGGAATTGTCGGTCAGAACAATTATAAAAGGCAAAGAAAAAATTCTCGAAGCTGTGAAAAATGCTCAATCTTTAAATTCAAGCATCATTCGTAAACGTCCCAGTATTATCGCTGAGATGGAAACAATGTTAAAATTATGGCGTAATAATCAAGTAAATTTGAAAAATTGTAAAATAATATAGGCCTAATTTGTTATACATATGTATTATTTATGATTTTATTAAACATTTTTTTCTAAATTATTGTTTTCTTTAGTCTCCGGCCCCAATTAAAAATTATTTGTATGTATTTATATGTGAAATTATACCCCGACTTACGCTAATTCGACTTACGCAGTTACCACTCGGTCCCACCTATCGTGTAAGTTCGGGGTATTACTGTATACAAAAGGCAGGGATATATTTTTAAGCTATCCAAGAAAAAACAATATCAATGCCTTTTATTATGTTTCCACCATTTATAATTTGTTAGAGAAGAATGTCATTACTCAGAAGTTAAAAACCTTCTGAATTTAGCACAATAGACAAAAAAAAAAATTCAAACATTATGAAACAGACCAAAGATAATTTAGGAATTAAGGAATAATTATTTGATATGGATGTGTATTTGTTCTGATAACCTAATCTTATTTAACCATATCAAAATATTAATTCCTGTGGTGCAGCTCAATTAGACAAAATTTGGAGGATGCTACTGGTATACAAGGATTTTTAGACCTATTGTCAAAAAATAGTTAAGTGCATGGCTGTCCACAGAAAATTTTCCAAGCCAAGAGGACAAGGCTTGGAGACAAATAATTAAAATCAATAAATTTTTTATTTATTTAATTTTTTGGGCATTCTCCTCCCACAAAAAGATTATAGAATACAGTATTGCATCAAAGCATCTCACAGTTGAGAGTGCAAGGTTACATATATCAATCACCCACTTTTATGATTATAATTTGTAAAATTCTTTTACTCAATCCCAGAAGGAGGCAATTATCCCATTTTCCCCCCTCTATGGATGCCCATGGTTAAGTGTTTTGAAAAGGGTTAATGTGTGTTATACAGGCACTTACATATTTTATTGTTTAATTTTTGTATTCGATAATCTATGATATGAAAATGTAAATTATTAACTTATCTAGTTTTGAATATTTAACTGTTCTAGCTGGAAATGGTTCCAATAAGGACAAAAATATATCTGATTTAAATAAAATATTTTGGTTGCATTAACCAGTATATTCATATGTTTCAAGACGAATCAGTACCATTTAGTTATCTCTAAAATTTTATATTTTTATAACGAGTTCTTGTTTCTATGAAATAAGAAAAATTGTCCGAATCAACAAACAAAGATTTAGATTAAACATTTGTGAATTGATCATGAGTATTTTAAATTAACACAATATATTAACAAAGACATTTGTTAGTTAATTAGTTGTATATTTGCCAACATATAAGACATACTCCATTTTCAGATGGTATTTTTCAAGAAAAAACATCTCTTATATGTCAGCAAATATGGTATTTTTGTAATATATTTTTGGTTGTTAGCATAGTATCGAATGAGAATTTAACCTAATTTCTAATGTGTTCTGAGTCAATTAGCTTTATATAGCTGGGATTAACTTGCTTACAAAATAAACTTTAAATGAAGAATTTATTCAGGATATTTAAGAAAACCTAAAACACACACAGTAATACACAGAAGCTATAATTCAATTTGAACTCAATATTCATTAACAGTAAAAATAAACACAGAGAAAGTAATCTCTAAAGGACAACTGTAATTATTTTTAGAGGAAAGAAAGGGTATACATCAGTATTGAGTGATTTTGAATTGAAGTCTCTTACCTTCTTCTGGTTTCCGAGGAAGCAAGTGAAGGCATAGGAAAAATTGTGCATATGAGACAGTGTTAGAGCAAAATTATCGTGTGGTACAAAAAATACAAAGCACTGCAATATCAAAAACTGTGCTTCTTAAATGAATGAACAGTAACAATACAAATTTGGAGTAGAAGTGCAAAATAAATATTTTATATAAAATTAAAATTAGTACCGTTTCTTTATGATTAATTTTAATTCTCAAAATTTATTTACACTATTAAAAAAAATCTATTAAAATTATTATTCATTTCTATTAAAAAATAAATACGAAATACAAAAATCAATAAGAAATAAGATTTGAAGTGTTGTAACTATTACATAAAGATTTACATTTAATCTTATAGAAATTTGATATGATAAAACAGGGTTTGTATAAAACAAAATGGAAAAAATGGCCAAATATTGGAATTTTTATTACCTGGCAGATACTTGAATATTGGCAGATTCAACATTTGTTTCTCCAGTCTGCAATGAATTTTGAGATGGAGGAGGAAGCGCACCTGGTGCTGGAGCTACAAAAAAATATTTCAAATCATTCTGAATGTAACATATTTAAAAATACAAAAAAACCACAATAAATCACTTTAAAATATTATTACATAATTAACAAAGCAATTTTATTATTATTAAGATAGATAGATAGATACAAAGGAAAATTAAATCTAGTCAGAAAGTTTTTTGAATATCCTCTTACAAGATATTTATCATAACACCTTCCAGGTTTATAACTTTAATTGGCCATTTGACATTTAGGTTACAACACTAAAACCCTGATTATCAGAGGTTCTGTATTATCTGAGGCAAATTAATAAGTGAATACACTACTTTTGTACTTTTGTCAGTGCTATCATTAGTCACTACAATGGGAAAGATTTTGGGAAAAAATATTCTGCATTTCAGTTAAGTCACATATCTGGACAGGTATGTTTTGCTTTTGTTAACTGCTTACAATAAATAAATATATGGGAATAAACAAGTAAGTAATTATACAATTCTTGTAATATTAAAAATGTAGATATCTAAAAAACTGCCATAATATATCGTATCATAACTTATAAATTTAAGTTATAAAATATGATACCTATATAATTTAAATAAAGGAATACTTTTCACCAAACCAACTGTAACATTATTATTAGTAAAATATAATAAGATTCATATTTTTTAAAATTTTATTTTACATAAAATTAAAATTTATTATTACAAATATTTTCAGCAGTTTATATTCCAAATTTATTTTTATAAAATAAAATACATTAATAAAGACATTGTCTAAAGCAATCAAATTTTTGCTCATCAAAAAAACTGACTGAGTAATATAATCTTAGTTCCTTTCAGTAGCCCAAAAACAAATACAGTAATACCCTGAACTTACGTGATAGGTGGGACCGAGCGATAACCGCATAAGCAGGGGTATAATTTCGCAATTTGTGTAAAATCCAAGTCGGATGTATGTAAGTTAATAAATGTTCTTGTTAATCTTATCTCGTCTTTTGATTCGTTCACGGTTACAAGAAATCACCACATAGTCTCTCAAGTCTCCGTAGATATAACAAACACAGAAATAGCCACAGTTTATTTTGTGTTATTTATGTGTCGATTCCTCGGGACACATCCGAACATGTAAGCTGAACAATAGTGTGGGGGAGTGAGTAATCATCAGTTGTGTGGCTCTCAAACAAAAGACGAATCAACAAGATTTGAAAATTGCGTAACTCCGGGTTCGCGTAAGTCGAGGTATTACTGTATATAATTATTAATAAATAGCAAATAAAAACACACATTGTAATTGTAAGATTTACTAGCTGTTACCCGTGGCTTCATCTGCACAGAATTTGCAATTTGATAGAAATAACCCTCCCTCAATACTTCACTAAGATTCTCAACATTTTGTTACTATAAAAACAAAAAATTACATCTAAAATAGTACAGTACAAGACATTCTTCAGGTTAAGCCTTAATCCTCTCCCTCGTGGGAGGAATTTCGAAAAATCCTTTCTTACTGTGCATTTTCGTACCCTAACTGTGTACCAAATTTCACCTCTTTAGGTTCAGCGGTTTGCTCTGGGTGATGATGAATCGATCAGTCACCCAGTCAGTCAGTCAGGACATGTAATTTTATATATCACAAGTTCGGACATGTGCACTGCATATCTCGCCTACCATGCCACTGTGCCGCACGGTTACCTATCTCATATACGTATGAATCTTGCCCCTCACCACCCACTGACACCAAAAATATAACACTTACCTAGATGATATCTTTTAATTTATATGAATGTTCAACGGAATAATATACAGACTATGTCCACCCTGAAGGTCCATTCTATATATTGGTGAAAGAATTTTTGAAATCAGATGAGTAGTTTCAGAGATTACCTCCTACATCCAAACTCTATAATATTAGTATAGAGTGAGACAACAAAAATGTATGTATGTACGTATGTATGTATGTATGTATGCATGATGAATATATAAATAAATATTCGAGTTATATCATTTTACAAGCATACCAAAATTATGTAAAGAAATAAGCATTTATATATGTTTTATCAGAAATTCTTTAATTTGGAAAGAATTATAGCATATGACTTTGAACACAAGTCACACATTCTAAATTTCTATTTAAAAACAAAGACTAATACAATAATTTTTTATACACTTCGCTACACTTAATTTTTTACACTTTGCTATAATTATGCAAAACAATAATGTTAATTTAAATACCGGAATGTTAACAGCGGAATGCTGGGAATTTTTTGTTAACCGTATAAGTGGCTCTTCAATGAGTTGACTGTTAGAACGTAGTTTTTGTGCTGTAAGCCCCACTGAAGAGGCCGTAGGCGAAATGCATTTGGGAAGCTTGTTAGTAATAATGTAAATAAAGGTTTTTCTCTGCAGATTATTTTCTTTTTTATACCTTTTTAAACTCTTTTTTTGAAAAATTTTTATAGTCACTATTAGCTTGTTTTTTTAAAAAAATTGAAGTTTTATATTATCCGAAAGTCAGAAGGGAAAGAAAAATATAATTTTTTTTGTAATTTTACATTTTATGTAAGAAGAAAATAAAAGAATAATTTTTTAAATTATGAATTGGTGGCACTCTTACTTCCACTCTTACTATGCAAATGGAATGCTTTTTTATTTCAAAGCTTCTCACATTCCAATAATGTATTATTAATATAGTAATCAATTTTCAACATTCTGAAGCATTTTTGTTCTCCACAGTACCTTAATTTTTAAAATCTGTTTGTATTTGGGGATAATGTTTCAACTAATAATGCCAAACACACGATGCTGGAAGATGACTTTCTACAATATATATGAATATTCTGTTTATTAATGTTAATGAATTTAATAAAATAAAATTAAAATATTTCAGTTTCATACTAGTATTTTCAACAGTTTCTTGCATTGATCATACTCAGGCAAATTTGAAAATCAAATGGCTCATTACGGAGCAATTTGAAAAAAAATCAAAATTATTTTAATATAATGTTTGTTTAAAACTAAGTATGTGTAAATACACAAATATTTAAGGTATACATAATTTTAAAGAACCTTAAAATTTAGCAGTTAAATAGTAATCAGGGAAAATTAATCAAAATTGGAGAAAGGATGCATGAAAATACACAAATGAAAGTGTTAAATGAACTAAGCCAAAGATGTCATCACTTTAAAATACCAACTAGCAAAACACACAAACTCAACCTAAGCAGCTGATAAAGAGAGATACAATGCTCTAGGAATTCTCGTGTAGGGCAGTTGCATGTGCCATTGGCAACAGCTCATAACACCTTCCATATATAAAGTTATTTCTGGTTGGAACACTATGGAGAAGTTGCATTTCTGTCCAAATAGACTTAAATGCAGATAAGGCTGCCCTAGCCAACTCAGTTGTGTGTTTGGCCTGCTTTATATCTATCTAATATTCATTATTCTTGACATAATGATATAATTGATGCAAGAATTTCCAGCATTGCACTTGAGTGAAATCATGTAGATTCCAGACTTTTCTATCAAATAATTTCAATAACAAAAAAATTCAAATTCTAAATGTTTCAAAAATAACCATTATTACATTATTATTAAAAAGTTTTTGTTTATAGAATTTGAACTTTGAATCAACTTCATTCTTAACCAAGTTTCATTTAATACTCTGTATATATATATATATCTATACAGAGTATTAAATATATATCATATATTATGATATATATTTAATACTCTGATTAAAGATGAGATGATATATATATATATATATATATCATCTCATCTTTACATTTTACTCTTATAAAAATCAAGTGGATACTTTTTAATTTTATCCAATTTTCAGTTTTCGTGTTTACATTCTATTAAGAATGAGTGCACTACTTTATTGTATCTCAATTTTCGAACTCTGTTTTCTCCCTAATACTTTGACACTTTTGTATCTTGTCAATAAAGACTGTTTCTATTAAATATTAATAAGCTATAATGTAGAAAACAATAGCACACATAAGGAGTACCATGATGGTTTCTCTTTCTTTCATTTCCAAATAAAGTGTCAACGAAAACTTAAGCACCTTAAATTCAATACAAAATTTATTGATGAACTGTTTTCAACCTTGTTTAAATGTCATCTTTAAGTTCTAATGATGGAACAAAAATCAAACATTAAAATAAAATACAAAAACTATTCGACAGATACATATTGTCATGTGTGCAGGTGTTGTGTTGAATGTGTAAATAGTAAATACAAAAATAAGATATAATAATGATAAATAACATAATAAAATATTTGAAAATACTTGAAACATATAAAGCTATTATTAAAAGGACAGCAATCAACAATAAGGACATGGCATATAGATCACATGTCTGGAGGGAGTTATTTGAAGTCAAATAGTAAGCTTCTATTATTATTGTGATATTCCCTGCTTACAATTTTATTCATTTCTGTATTTTATTTCTGTAATTTATTTTAATTTATATTTCACGTACTTCTTATTTTGTATTTACTGTTTTATAATCTTATTTTATGTATTTACGATTATTTTATCTTGATTTTATATTTTCTATTTTTATATTTATATAAATATAACCTGCACATGCAACAATATGTATCCAAATACTTTTGAATTTTATTTTTTTTATTCAATTTTTGTTCCATTGTTAGAATCTGAAGATGACATTTAAACAAGACTGAAAACAGTTCCATCAATAAATTTTGTTTGTTCTGTACTGAATTTAAGGTGCTTTGGCATATTTGATACTAAATACATCTACTAGTTAACATGATAAAACAAAAATCATCATAACATATTAAGGAACCATGGATCAAACACTAAATAAATCAATTATCTATAATACGTCAAATTAATTGAAAGAAGAGAAATTGATTTGTGAAGTTATTCAAGATAACAATATGCAAATGAACCATGCATTCACCAGTAGCAATTATGTTTAAAGTATATTTTAGTTCAGATAGACTCTGGTCTTTTCCTTTCCTGTTCTTAATGGAAAGAGATGTAATAATTTGGGAAGAAACAAATTAATAAAAATGTAAAGGAAAGAGAGAGAACTAATGGAAATAAAGATAGAAATAAGCAAATATTTGAGTTTAAACTTAAAAAAAAAAAATTCTCAAAAAAGACAAATACTGATGTTAGTGAAAGGAATGAAGTTTGAGGAAACTTTTAATGTATTGTCTCATTTGAGAATTTTTTATAAATTTTCTAAGTTTAAACTTATTTGTCCGTGCAACTTTTTTCATACAATATAAAAATAAAAACTCAGATATTTGAAGTCTCTAATGTCTGGTAATGTTTTAATTGACCAAATTTATTAACTTTTTTCCACTAATGACTACAGCTGTTATTTCACAAAAGAAACTGCATATCTAATTGTTACTTTGATATTAATGTTTTAATGGTAATTCACTGTCAATATCAAAGAAACATTCATAAATAATAATAATAATTTTTTTTAAAGGACTCTTTACAAAACTGCTTTATGGAATAAAAAAATTAATTTTAAATCACACCCAAGTACTTTCAAGCTTATAAGATCACTATCAATGGTAATTAAAACAATTTCCATATTCTAAAATATTTACGTAGTTTGAGTGTTTTAGATTTTTTTGAATTATTAGCAATGGATGATGATGTTTTAAATATCCACTGATGATGAATTTGCAAACTTAAAAGTATTTAGACTTAATGTTTGATTGATTGGTCTGCAATGTGAAATTATAGACCTATTAATTCCCACTGTCATTTGTCTGTCTGTACTTGAGAACATTGTTAGATAAATGAAATTCAAGACCAGTTATAGAAAGTTTAGGGACAAGAGGTCCCAATTAACTGTATGTGAGCTTTAGTGCAAACTGGAAGTCATGTTATTTCAATTCAAAAATTTTTCTCCGAAAGAAGTTAGACAGATGACTGGCACAACTCCATAGATAATGGAAAGTATAATGTACAGTACAGGGGTAAGCCACTACTAATTTAAGATGGAGAGAATTTATTTTAAATTAAATATATTAAAAATTGCAGCCCAGCACTGTGACAATATCACAATAAATAATTGCTAATTTCATATTAGTTTTCTCTAATAAAGCAATTTTGCAGGTCAAAATTTTACGAAAATTGTTTTAGAGTAAGAAATACAATTTTAATTTATTAAAACTATATTTTTGATTACTAAAATTAAATTTTTTACAGTAAGCTAAATTATGCCAGATTTTTCATATGGTTATTTTCTGATTAAATTATTAAATAAAAAAAAAACAAAACTTATAGAATCAATCTTCATACAAACTTGGAATGTCAAATAAAATGAAATTTCTGATTTGAAATCTAGAGTTGGATTTTATCATCTTCACAGTGTAAGTAAATGTATTGCACTTTTAAAGCCAACATGAACTCATTTCAAAGTACTTATATACATAAATGGTTTGGTTTACACAAATTGTCTTAATAGCAATGCAATTTTTATTTCTGTTTTACCATTCTGTAGTGCTCATGATTTCTCAAACTTTTTTTTTTGTGGCGTAGTAAACACTAGTATTGTGTTTTATTCCAAAGACACATGGCAAATTTTCCATCAAATTCCTTTATTAGTTGAGTTGATATGGTACATTGTTTTGTACTCGTTTTGGGCTTTGCCCCTCTTCAGTCAACTAAAATACAATATATATATTTAACTTATTACAGTAGAGAATTTACATAAAACAATGAGTACATAAATGATATATAGACGTACCTTTTGATTACACTTTGTATAATTTAAAACCATGTAAAATCTGCTTTAATCTTTGTAAAACTAGTATATATTATATAAATTAAAAGGTTAAAATATTCTAAAATCTTCTCTTATAGGCATATTTCGATACAACACAACTGTAAAAATTTTTTAGCTGTTTCCTCCCCCTTTTTACCTTCTACCCCCTTTTTATTTTTTCTTATGCGCTGGTATCTTAAGTATTGCCATGTATGACGTTCGATAGAAAAAAAAAGGAAAAAAATATTATTATAAAAATATTATTTATAATATATTAATCCAGTTTTCGTTTATTTTAAGACTTAAGTTTTTATTTATACTGTTTTTACTTTTCATGATTTTTATGGTTTCTTTAAACTTTCTGTTGTACGTTAATTTTTCTTTATGCAGTATTTCTACGTTATCTTTATCTATATTACAGTTGTTTATAGTACAATGTTCGTAAAATGCAGAATTTATTCTATTGTATTTAAGATCTGCTATGTGTTCTTTCAGTCTAGTTTTTACTTTTCTTTTTGTTTCTCCTATGTAATGTTTTTTGTTTGCGCAGGTACACGGAATTTTGTATACTACACCTTGGTTTTCGATCGGTATTTGCTGGTTTTTCTTCTGGTTCGTGGTTAACAGTCTGCTTTCCATTTTTTGATATGATGGTGCTAATTTGTAGTTTATTTTTTCTATTTCTGCGCTGATTTGTTCATNTTTTTTTAAATGTATTACTTGGCTTTAATTTGAGTATGTTTTTCGCGTTGGAACGAATTATTTGGTTTTACATGTAATCGTATGGGAAAAGATGATCCACCTTACGACATTTTCATGATACGATCTCAGTTTCGGAACGGATTAATTTCGTATCCTGAGGTACCACTGTATATATATATATATATTGTATTTTAGTTGACTGAAGAGGGGCAAAGCCCGAAACGAGTACAAAACAATGTACCATTATCAACTCAACTAATAAAGGAATTTGATGGAAAATTTGCCATGTGTCTTTGGAATAAAACACAATACTAGTGTTCACTACGCCACAAATATAAAACAGGACACGGTTTCAAAAAGAAAATTCTCAAACTTTTATTTCAGGTTTATAACAGTTTATATAACAAAATATAAATATCTAGAAATAATTACTAGTTGGCACAAAACAAAAAGGAGAAGTTATATCCAAAAATCAAACCTCTCTTATGATTCTTTCATCTGTTACTAATATCTAAATATGCCAAAAAATGTTTTTATCTAGCATAAATCTTTTAAAATAATTTATTATTATTTATTCATATTACAAGTGTAATTGAGATGCTGACTGAATGCTTATTAATTAGAAATATCTAAGTCAGTCATAGTTATCATTCATAATTTAATGTGAAATTTTCTTAGTGAATAGTGTACATTTTGTTTCATTTATCTCTAAATTTTTTATTATGAAACCATACATTATCAAATCAATCATTCTTTTTATGCCACATTATTAGTCATACAAGATATAAATTCTCTTACCAGAAGGTTTACGAGGGATTGGTCTTTGAATAGCCTGAGAGGATATTCTTTTGGCTTCATTACATTCTTTAAATATCAACAAAAAAACAACATTATTAATAATTTTATCAACAACAATGCATTAGAAATAAAATGAGTTGTTAAAAAAAGACAAATTATTTATTTTTTGCTATATCACCTGATGGCTTATCGACTTCATTATACGATACAGGCTGACCATCGGGTGATAACCTTACCGCTACGGGATGAAGAATTCTCGGATCCTTTTTAATAGAAAAAAAAAGCATTATAAAATACTGGAAACGATAACGATTGACAGACAATATTAATCTAAACATATACTTAACTATACATATTTTTATATGGTTATTAAAAATAAAAAGAAATCAAATATTTTAGAAATAAGTTCACAATGGTGCACAAAATTAAAAAATTTGGGTTAAATACATGAGAAATAAGGAGAGCTTTACAGTAAAATATTTTGAATAAGCATTAGAATTATATTAAACATAACCATACATTAAATATTCCATAAAATTTAACATTTTCAAGGAACAAGAAGACACAAATGTTAGAAGAGTAAGGTTTAACAGGGTGCAAAGGTTCTTTCCCAATCTGTAATGAAGTTTAATTCATTACAGATCAACAACATAGAAAGAATCAGGTAAGAAAATGTCGGAAATAAAACATTAAGGGATGCACAACCAAGGATAAAGAGGCCTATAGATTCACTCCCATCCATGTCACAACAGAAACCAAAATAAAAAAGGGTTAGATTCTGCCTGATCTGACCTAATTTAAACTTGAAATAGATTATAAAGGAATACTTCAATTAACCTGTTCCACGGATGCTGCAGAAAAATCAAAGTTCACGGGCTTCATCCCGGGAGAAGATACGGAGCTCGTTGGAGAGTCATTAAACTTTGTCCACTAGACAGAAATGTGCAAACTGTCACATATCCAAAAACATTACAATAATTTTGATTTTTTTGTTTTTTATTTTATTATTTTGAATATATTTAAATTATGATGATTCATTCAAATATTCATCTCATTTTCAAATAATATTTGCGATATTCGGATGGGTTCATTACTAATCTAAGTACATTTTTTTTCTTTGACATTTAGTAAGCAAAGAAGATAAAGATATTTTGTTATAATTTAAAAAGAATTATAGCAGATCTTTAAAAGATATCACTAATTTAATGTAATTTTTACTGTGAATTTATAAAAATTTGATATGTTTTAATATTTAAAATGATATTTGTACATCTCTTAAATACTCTATAATTTCTTTTTAGTTAAATCTAAATAACTATAATTATAATTTTAAAGAGAACTATGGTTTTTAGGCAAGGGGAAGATGGTAATACATGCGTGTGATGATACATTTAAAAATACTATTCCAATTTGGAAGTTATAAGGTATATTTTCAAGAAATAATGGTATCTCAAATTGTAATTTTATACCTAAAAAATAACTGCGATTAACTGGGATCAAACCAAATGGTAATTAATGACAAACCAATGGTTCTTTGCATAGTATCTCTTAATGAAATCATAAAGTGAAATGTTTCTATACCTAGTTTCCAAATTATTTTGTTCTATCTATGATTTTTAGGTACAGGTATGTGCTGCTTAATGACAGAGATTTCTTAAGATTATAATGGAGCCGAAAAATCTGTAGCCACGTGTACTTTTTCTATGTTTAAATATGTTTAGATACATAAATATTAGTACTTATACAAACTAAATGTAACAAAATGAATTAGTAGTAGACTATATCATACAGTTTAAGTATATGATGTTTGTCTTCTCTCTCTGTTGTTAAGTGGCCTATACCTATATCTGAGTTATAAATAAGTTTACAAAATATGTATGCAACTTTTAATATATAATATTTAACATTTCAAATTACAATCTTTAATTTATAACTAAAATAATTACTGTTAAACTATTCTGTTTATTAATTATATGATTAAAACTTTTCAGTTGTTTGATCCCAGTTTTGATACTTGGTTTTAAATATTTAAAATTTTAAAAATTTAATTTCTATAAATTTGGAATCGGATATAAATACATTTTGAACTATTGTTCGAAGCGTTATTTGTTTGTGTTTTATAAATTTTAAATCATTTTGTTCCAATTTGAAAACATTACCATCAAATATTAAAAAATTAATTTTATTTTCACACTGCAATTGTATGATATACGAAAATATAACCTTAATTTTATACATAAATTCTTAAATTATTAATTAAATATAAAAAAAATTTCAATCAATTTATCAAATTTAAACTCTTGTGAAAGCCATACTTTAGAAAATAAGCTATAAATCATAATTTAATTAATTTCAATAATAAAATTGAATTTCGTTGGGGTATGACTATCGCAAATTATATTAAAATATTTTCTATTAGCAAAGTAAATATAATTTCATATAACTTAGAAGATTCTCAAATTAATAAAATTCTTAAACTTTCACTAAATAATTTCATATTATAGAACTTTTGGAATATTTAGTTTTTATAATGAAACAAAACTTGTGTATATATAAATTATTTAAATTTTACCTTTAAATTATGTAAAGTAAATTCCTTTTGAAATTTAATTGAAAATTTCAAATAGCAATTTTTAATTATAAAATACCAATAAAATTATAAAATTATTGGTATTACTACTACCTAAAAATTAATTACTATTTATAAATTATTAATAAAAAATATAATTTTTTAAAATCCAAAAATCAATAAATTAATAATTCATTAAAAATTAAATTATAAATTATTAAATAAATTGATTATTTAGTTTATAAATTAACTCAAATAAATTTTTCCACAAAAATGTACGTAATTGAAGTTTCAAATTTTAATAATTTGAGTTAATATTTTAAAAGTTTCCAATATCATACAAAATAATTCTATACAGCATCTAAAAATTCTTTTATAAAAATACAACTCCTCTGAAGCAGTTTGTATAATTAGAAAAACAATTAAAAATTCTTTTTAATCTTTTTAATTTTTGTAGTTACAACTAAACATTCATTTTATAATGTTTTATTTTGAAATCTATTATTTTAAATAATAAAACAACTGCGATTAACCTTATAATTTTTATACTTACCATTTACTGTGATAGTTTTCTCCCTATTTTTATTTGTTATTTTTCTGTAACAACTTTTGTTCTTTAAACAAGTCTATACAAGTGAATATATATATATATAGCATATAGCATAAGCTGCTAGCAATTGTATCATATGCTCATTTGTAAGAATTACTAAAAATTACTAAATTATCAGTATTTTCATGAAAAATTAATGAAATTTGTTCTATTATTTTAAAATTCTAAGATATTTATAACTTAAAGAATGTAAACTTCTTATTTATACAAAAAAATATAATATAAGAATGTTTTATTTGTTGCTATTTAACAAACTATGATTTATCTTATTTTTTCTAAATGTAAATAATTAATTTTTATGTATTTTTGTGTGTTCTTTTTACAGGTGTCAGGTTTGTTAAACAGAGGTGGAGATCTATAGCCAGCTGGCATTACCTATTTTTGTTCTAATAAATAAATAATTCAATGAATAAATACAGTTAGATATATATTATTTTATATAGAGGTCAAAATATATGTTTATTACACTAAATTTTAAAACTAGCATTCAATTTTCTAAACTCTAATGTGTAGAATAATAAAATCCACTGAATAGTTTTTAAATGATATATTAATGTATTAATGTTGTCAATCTAAAGTCTGCATCATAATACAACAATTATTTTCTAATATTCAGACATAAGATTATTATTTACCAATGAATATTTAATAACAAAACATTTGTGATATCCTTTCTAAATTTACTAACTAATAAATTTTTTTGTGTATTTCTGTCATATTTTGTCAATTTTATAAAAGCTAAAAATTTTTAAATTTACCATAATGGTAGTTTTTTAGTGATCATTATAATGCCTTTCAAACAATTATTGTTAAATATACTATCACTTTATGTAGCTAAGTTTTAAAATAATTTGTGCAAAAGTGATTACAAAAAATGGCAATGAATAATCTATATAATAAAAAATTGTGTAAGAAAGTAATTTGCAAAGTTATTTGCATTAGGAAACTTATTTGCAAACTATCCTATCTATCTTCAAATTTATAAATAATTAGATATTGCACATTAATGTTTTTAAACTGAAAAATATACTTTCTGAAAAACTGAAAAAAGCAGTTGAAAGTTCATAACTTTCAACTGCTTTACTTCACAAAATAAGATAAATACTGATTTTCACAGTAGTTTCAGACTAATGTAAGAAACACCTCTGAAGATGGACATGTTCTAACAACATTTAGTTCTAGATATTGGTGAAATGTAAATACATCAATTTCTCTAATATTATATTACTTTTAAGATTATCTGAATTCATTTATGGACTCCATTAAAATAATTGAAAGTTATGAATATAGCTGAATTGGCTTTCAGACTTTGTAGGACATTCCTACAAATTTTATAATTAAACTATCTTAAAAATATATTATATTTGCTTCAAAAAATCAAGATAATGCTTTAAATTTCAATGTAACTATTCTAGAAACTGGAGAGAATGCCAGAAATAAAATTCACATCTTAAAATATGCTCCAGCAACAGATTTTAAACATTCAAACATGCTCAACTGATAACGACCTATAAGTTTATAGGTCGTTACCAGTTGAGCATGTTTGAATGTTTAAACTTAGGATGAAAAGTTTCTTTTTCATTAAAATCTGTTTATATTAACTTAAAAAACTGTTAATTTATATTAAGGCTTATCAAATGTGATAAGCCCTAATATAAATTAACAGTTTTTTAAGTTAATATAATATGTTTAATAAGTATAAGAGCAAAAATCATATACAATATCATTATTTTCTTTAGGATATTTTATAAATTAATGACATTTGATTCACAGAAAGCAAAATAATCAAATATCAATGTAAGAAAAAAGCAATTTCTGAATATTTTTAAATAATGAAAATTATTTAATTCAAAATAAAAATAATTTAGAAATAAACATATGTAACAAAATAATTCATTCTAATTTTACGTTTAAATAAAATGAAATAAAATAAACTGTTACCATATTTTAGATAATCTTATACATACAATGTATTTCTAAGTACTTTTTATTGGATTGATTCCTTTAACCATTTATTTTATGATGAATGTATTAAATTTAAGTACAAGGGGAGTCTGATATTAAAGGCACAGTACAGGCCAAAATTACATTAACATTTATAATTAAAGAAAATATTTAATACATTCTACAAAAACTACATACTTTTGTTTATTTCTCAACATAATCACCTTAAACATTGAGACATTTATCCCAGCACGACACTAGTTTGGATAAGCTTAATTTGACAAGCAACAGTACCGTGAATGGAAGACACCATTCTGGACTACTTAAAGCAACAGTACTGTGAACGTTTGTTCACGGTACTGTTGCTTTAAGTAGTCCAGAATGGTGTCTTCCATTTCCTCCTGATCTGCAAAGCATTTCCCCACCAAAAATTTCTTTAAAGGTCTAAATAAATAAAAATCTGATGGGGGCCTAAATTTGGACTATACAGAGGATGTTGCAGGATCTGCCAATTCTGCTGTGCCAACCACAGTTTGGTTTGATTTGATGTGTGGAGTATAGTCCAGATTTAGCCCCTGTTGGATTTTCATTTATTTGAACCTTTAAAAAAATTTTTGGCAGAGAAACGCTTTGCAGATCAGGAGGAATAGGAAGACACCATTCTGGACTACTTCAAGCAACCATACAGTGAACGGATGTTCAAACTAGTGTCATGCTGGGATAAATGTCTCGATGTTTATGGCTATTATGTCAAGAAATAAACAAAAGTATGCAGTTTTTGTGGAATGTATTAAACATTTTCTTTAATATTTTGGCTTGTATCTTTAATATCATACTCCCCATGTAAGTACAATGCCATAAAAATTTCCTGATTTCATAAAATACAACAAATTCACTTGATTGTAATCATAGTATTTTTTTTAAATTCTAGAAATAATAAATATTAGTCATTGAATTAATTATATAGTCATTTATCAGTTATTAATGAATCCAAAAACCTGCTATATGTACTTTATGACTGATTAAAAGAAATGTTAGTTAAGTTATAAATCAATACTCATGTAATTTTATAAAAAAGTTTTTTAAAATCAATTCGTAATAAAAAATTTTTCTCATGAAACAATACATATGATGTGATTCAACTTGAAAGATGGAATTGACATAACTAACGAATTTAGATTAAAAAATTAATAAATAATATTGATAATTTCATTATATGATAACCATAAATCATGAATTATTAATTTTAATGCTAGACAATACTTTATATTACTTCTGCACATTCTTTGAATAATAATAAATTCCAAATTTAAAATTTTAATTTTGTCTGTCATAATGTGCATTATGTAAATTGTAAAGATTACAATTTCATTGATATAAGTACTGAATAAACAACTACAAATGATACAATAAAGTTTCTTTAACTTTTGTCTACATCTTTGCAGCAAAATATGCTAAAGAGAAAATATTGACGTCTCACACTAATGATTAATCTCAGATAAAACATTATTTTTAAAGAAAGGCAATATACATTTCAACACAATTTTATAATTAATTTGTTACTACTTCTGTATTAATTTGTTACAAATTATACTTTCATATTGGGAAAATTAAATATGAAAAGTTTGAAACTTTAACTGTAATGAACATACCTTTATTTAAATAAGTAATGTAATTATTTTCTACTTTAAATAAGTGTTTTATGATTTTTGTTTTTGTTTATGCTAATATCACAATTTAATATTTTGTAGTTTTAAAAACAACGATTTATTTTAACATTAATTCCTTATTATAATCTCTTAATAACCTTATAAATTACCAAATAATTACATTCATTTTAATTTAAAATTTATGTATTTTGTTAAACAATAGCAATAAATATTTAAAAGTCAGAAATTGAATTACGTACATGAATATTCAATAAATGAAAATAATTAAAAATATTCTTATCTTCATCCAGACAAGTGAAAATATACTAAAAAATTAATGAGGTAAATTTAATAATTACCTATTTAAAATAAATCTCATTCTGATTAACGGATCTTGTTAATTTCTGCAGAATTACTTTGAGAAGCTGTATTTTTTTATAATTAATGAAAAGCAAAACTAATAACAGTGCATGTAAGCACTACATTTTAAATAAAACTAATTTTTGAAAAAATAATGTTCTAATAAGAAACAAAACAATACCTCTTTATTTTGTGGAGACATAAGATCAGTTGGTGTATTTTGTTTAGGACTACCTACACTTTGATATTGCTGCTGATGTTGTGTAGTTGGATATGTACGATTTTCTTTATGGAAGAAAAAACAAAATATATTGTTAAATAAAATTATTAGAAAAAAATAATCTAAACATAAATAGACAGTTGTTACCTTCAGGTACTCTCTGAGGTATTCTTGGTACAAGAGAAGGAGGTAGGACGTCTGGGAGATCAATATTGTTTCGACGAAGCACAACAAGATGCATGGCGGTACAGAACTCTTCAATTGTAAGAGCACCATCTTTATCAATATCAGATAACTGCCTGTTTAATAAATTAATACTTAAGATTTGTATATTTTAATAAATTTTATTTATATATAGTTTAAATTAGCATGTTTATAAATAAATACTATTCTGTTATGTTTTATGATATATACATTTGCTTATCATTACATAATGTAATCTACCTTATAATTTCTTTTTTCTATAAATAATATTTTCATTACTTTAGTAGATACTTTTTAATATATATTAATTTTTATACAATACAAAATAAAATGTATTGAAATTTTTTAAAAATAATTCTTACCAAATTTTGGATAGTTCATGTACAGGTAATTTTGATTTTTCAAAAAATTCTTTTGCAGCAGCACCTACAATAATACAATAGAATTTAAAAAATTTGTCTTTAAAATGAATTAAAAATGATCACAATAATAAATTATATACTTTTACAGGTAAAACTGTAGTTCTGAATAAAGGGTTTGGGAACCATAAACCAGAGGTCACCAACCTTTCTGACCTCACAAGCTACTAAATTCACAATTTTGAATCCCATGGACCACTATCAAGAAATTCTTTTAAAATAATGCAAATATTTATGGAATAATGATCATAAAAGTTCCATTTTACTGTATTAATGTGAAATTCACTTGTTTAATTATAACAAATTAGTGTGAAGTTTATTGGTGCTTATTTGAAATAAGTTCATGGATTATTTGCTCTTTTCCATAAAGGATGACAACTGCACTCACAACATTATTTTATTTATAGATTATTAATTTATTGACCAATAACAATCATTTTGTGTTTGGTTTTAGATTCAAATAAAAAAAACCTCCAAAGAATAAGAAAAAGCAACCAAGCATTTTGCATTTGTTTTGTAAGACTTTGCATAACCTTGGGTTAATCAATGTCCAAATTTCTCCACAAACCATCAAAATTTTCAACTGGTTGGCAACCACTGCTCTAGACCAGTGTGAGGGCCCGGATTTAAGATTCGAATATTTTTATTCATTAGATTAAAAGTTACGGTTAACACAAAAAGGGAAAAACAACCGACAAATTTTCTCATAAAAATCGCTCATAAAAACTCCGTTCCCACGACAATACTTCCCTGTAGAAGATGAGTTAACTGTTGTGTCATAAGTTTGTCACTTCGCCCATCATTGGTCAAAGAAGATCATCACCTGTGACGTACATGGGGAAATCTCGAAAAAAGAGCCCCCATATAAAAGGCAAGTGCAATGACGACACAAGGGGGAAATTAAGTTCTTTTCTCTATACTGTGAGTGTGTGCCCGTGGATTTACCTGCATCTCGTCTCCACCGTCTTTAATAGACTTTGAACTTCGACTTCGAACTTTGGACTGATTTGAACTTTGAACTTGGAAGGACGAACCTCGGATCAACGTTATAACAACCTAATCAGAGGTATTTATCCTACACGCGATGATGTGTAAGCTCTCTCTCGAATATTCGAACCTCGCGGGTAGGGTCGCGACTATTTTATACTTTGCCGTTACTTTATGAACTATACGGATTGAACCCGAGAGGGATTTGTATTCCAATTATTAACTATGTATAAATGTACGGAATAAACGGGTATTTTGTTAACGAACTTGGATTGGTGTGCGTTTCTTCCGACATTTTCCACTCCATACTGAACCCGAAGTCCTCGACGAGATCGCTCGTGATAATTCCCCATCCATCCGCGTATCTATCCGCGATAAATTGATAGATTGGTGTCAGATCCTGACAGGTGAAAGAATCTAATGATCCTTTCTCCTAACCCTTTTTTCCCATCCTTTAGACAAGCAAGACCGGACCTCAAGGTCTTGAGTCGAGTAAGTGGTAGGAGAGGGACATCCTTGTAAACATCCTACCCCCGATTAGTCTCACACCAGTGTTCCGCAACTGATGTGCTGTCACATGGTGAAAGGTGTGACATAAACTTTTACATATTCTGTTAATTTCAAGTTTTGTTTATATATTTTTATCACAGTTGTGTTTCTTATGCTTGTATTTCATTCTCTGCCACAGCACTGATAAAATAAAATAATGTTTGTTTATTCTTTATTACAAGTCATGCATTTTTATGTATTCTAAGAAATTATATGTAAAATAAATTTGCTCACAGGTGTTGATGTCTGTTTAATAATAATAATAGGTTAGTGGAATTACATAATTCTATTAATAGTATCATATCATACATTTTTGAGCGGAATAATATTTTGGTGTGTTGAGTCATGGGTGTGCCGCAAGTAGAAAAAGATTGCGGAACACTGCCCTAGACAACCAAAATAATCAAAGGAACCATATCTATAATTGTGACCCTTAATGAGATAGTCATCTCCAAAATTTCTGTGATGCTTGTAAAACACACATCAGGCTTAATGGTGTGTGCAACTGACCTCCATCGTATCCTAAAAGTACTTGGTGCAATGGTGTTTCTTGTATTTTATGAGCTTATACCCATCTCTAGTAAAGTGAAAACAGCTGCAATTTGGCATTATTTTGAGAAATAGTTCCAGATGTTTTCAGTTTTATATTTTATCCCATTTTTGATGATCTTGAAAATTCCATATAGTCTGATATCAGGGAAGCTATATTTTGTAAAGGGTCACATGCAGACCATTGGATCCTTTGACGTTTTTACTCCTATGGGCATGGTATATAGCTCTGATAAGGTCCACAATCTCGTTCAGAGCTGCATTTGTACCCTATTACATAAAATTTTTTTATATATTTCACAATAAACATAAATTATACCTGATATCCTTCCTTTCAAATCTGATTGCATTTGTTTAAATTGATTTGTGTAATACTCTTTCTGTTCATCTGTTAATGTCCAGAAATCATATTCTTCATCACTAGAATGTCGTTCACTACTATCTTCTTCATTTCCTAAGAGATGATGATGTTCTTCAAATTGTGCCCAATTTAAATGACCATCTAAAAATTACATTAAACAAAAAAAAAAAAAATTATTTTTCTTTACAAATTAAAATTAAATGCTTGTCAATAAAATTACAATTACTATTTTATATAACAAAAGATTAGTTAATTATAACCTTGTTGAAATGCTGCCCATGATTTATCACCATGCATTAAATCAGAACTTCTTGGAGATGATGGTACTTCTGTAGGTGAAGATCCATGTGAATCACTGACAGCTTGTATCTGTGTATTTGACTGAAATATTGGCTAAAAAGCAAGAAATATTTATCTTAAACTTTAAAAATATAAAATTCTAAATGGTATACCTTTTTATATTTAAGTAAAAGCTTAACTAAAATTTGTATGAGGAAATCTTTAATGGACTAACATTCTTAAGAGGGCAAATTCACAAATAAAATAAAGGTTTGGTCCTATAAAGTAAAATTTTCCTAAGTTTTTATTTTAAGTTTTTTGTAAGAGCTTAATCAAAAAAATTTTTTTAAAGAATTTCTTGTAGATATTGAGTTTGTTATATAATTTATAAATTTAGTAGATGTTTAATAGTACTATATAGTAAAAAAGCAGTAAATTAATTTACTGTCTTTCAATATATCCTATCTGATTATCTGATATCTAATGGAATTCTAGTGATATCTGATTATTAATTATGTATATATGTATATAAACAATCAAACAGATTACTATTAATTAGTTCAGTAGTAACAGACTACTAATGCCTTTTTATTTGATTAGTAACATAATTTATGCTTGGTTTCTTATCTGATGTATTATAAAAGAAATCAAAATACAGTGGAACCCCGGTTAACAAATGTCCTGGTTAACAACCAAATCAGTTAACGAACTTTTATTTTGCAAAAATTTTGTCTCAGATAATGAACAAAATTCGGATAACGAACTTAACGGCTTTTTATGTCAAATTTGTAAGCTTTCCGACTTTTAGGGGGAATCAGTTAACCGTGTGTCGGTGACAGTCTAGGGTCCATTCGTACGTTGGTGGTGGTGGTGGAGGAAACAAAGATGACAAGTATTTTACAGTGAAAATCATTTATTAGAACGGGAAGATGCTTACATATTTAAGGTAGTTGGAAATGGCTTATCTACAGTATTTTCTCCCGGCACCGAGGAGTGGTGTATCACTGGTCCTACAATAGTGCAAGCTGATCAGTTGTAGCCCCAGAGCGGACGAGATGGGTTCGCTTGGTCACAGAAGCGATGGTAGATGACAGAGCTTCAATGACTGGAGTGGTCCGTGAGACACAACACAAATTTTAGCAGACACGACTTCAGGATTAATCCAGATGAAGACAACACAGATTAATCGGCATACAATTTTTAGGAAAACTACATTTTGATCTTGAGATTCAGGGTTTTTATGGTATTTCTTCCTTGAATCTCACCTTACGATTAGTCCTGCGTCCCATTCCTCGCTTCCCGATTGTTTTCTTCTTTGTCTCCAGGTGAAAACCGAAACCAGATCAGGTCACGAGAAAGGTTTGTTCCGAGGCATTTATTTGACACCTGTTTGTCGACTCTGATTGGAGATTGTTGATAAACCTATAAGCCTTTCGCTCATAATTTAGCCTATTGTTTCTGCTATCTGTCATTTTAGAACTTTAACGATTGTACGTGATGTTTTTATACCTGTCAAATTGTTCCCCTTTTCCGAAAATTTAACCTAGATCGACTGTTTATGACTGCTTCTGTCAGTTTCATCTTCCCAGCAGACACTCCACCTGATCCGTTATGTCATTCGTTTTCGCGTTGCATTTGTTTTGACAACTACAGTACAGTTTTTTCTTACTTCTCCCTGAACTTTGGTCCAACTTAACAATAGTGTTTTTGCTCTTAACATGTGGATATTAAATTATATTGGGTTGATGCAAAAGTTTGTCCCGTTTTTTTAAAAAGAATCAAAGAAAACCCATTTTACAAATAAAATTACAAAAATACTGACAGCTAGAATGGATTAATTGTATTTGCATTAATTTCTATGGAAAAATTGTTTCGGTTAATGGACTCGTGGAACGGATTACGTTCGTTAACCAGGGTTCCACAGTACCTGGAAACTAAATCAGTAAGTCATGAGCTATTTTGCTCTAGTGACCATAAAGCATGTTAAAACCAAGTGAAAATTTAATTAAGATTTTTATGTAAGACTACATATAAAAACCTGTATAAACCAGAATCACATAGTACTGAATTTTTTTACCTCATTTGCCAGGTTTGTTTTGAACAAGTTTTTTTTTAAATATAAAAAAGTGGTCATGAAAATTTTTTTACATTCAGACAAGTTTCTGTTTCATTCTGGTTCAGTTTTTGACAGGTTTCACTACATAATGAAAATAATGATCAATAATCAAAGACAATATTTATAATTTTGCTTAAATCAAGGAAAACTTTTATGCTGGCAGCAAGAAAAGAATTACAGGTATACCTCGCCTTACGTCAGTAATTGGTTCCAGGAGAACGACTTAAGTCGAATTTACTTGTCTCCGAATCTACTTGCCACTAAGCTAAACCATAAATTACCAATTCCTGTTCTGTATTTTATTTATTAATGCATTTTTAATAGTATATGGTTAATAAGGATCTATTTTAAGCTTACAAACAAATAAATTTTAGTTTTTAATATAGTAGACTACAGTAAAAAGTAATTTAAATTTACGAATGCATGTACTGTAAATACAGTAGTCTATATACTTGTAAATGTATATATTATAATATGATTTTATGTGCTTTAAACATTTTTCTAGTGATATTACGACTTCAATATTTGTGGCGGACAGATGTAAAGTTGAATAAAATGACTTAAACGTGATTTTTATTTTTCCATATATTTATTTGACAAATGACGTATAATCGTGAATGACGTAACTCGAAACGACGTAAGTCGAGGTATACCTGTATTAATAAAACAACAAAAGAAAAATGATAACTTAAGCCATAATCTCAAGACATATAAACAATCAATTTACAACCCAACTTTAAAGTAATTCCAAATGATCTGCCATATTACGATTAATTTTAATAATTAGTTATGAAGTAATTTGAATAGAGGTAAAATTATAATATGTTGATCTAACTGCTGACATATAAAGATATATTTAAGAATTGTATAGAAGTAAATATGCAAATATCTTTGTCCTACATTTTGTGCTTTCAATGGTTAATAAATTTTGTTAAATAATTTGAATGATGATTAAGAAGCTAAAAGTAAAATTTATAGAATAGTTTTAATGCAATATTATAAATATAATAATGTAATAAAGAACCAAATTATCTCAACTACAATTCCATCTCTTTTTAAAATATTTATTATTCACAAACAATTATTTTAACAAGTGATTTGCATATTATAGTTGTGAGGAAAAAAAAAAATATCATTGATCCAAAAAATTAAATTTGAAATTACACTTAACAAGTCAGTTATCATCAAAAATTGATTCTTCTCTTAAATATTTTAATAAAATAAATATGTATAAATACAAATATACAAACTAGATGGTATGTATAAAACATTTAATTTGATGTATTTTAAGAGTTTTAATATATTTATGTTATTATATTCATTGATTTCATCAAAATGTGTGCATGTAAATTTATATAATGTTATTTGAATTTATTATTCAATTGGAAACTGATAATCACTAAAAGTAATTTAAAATGTTTGTTTTTACAATAATTTTGGGTATAAAAAATGTACTTTGCTTTGTTAATTTAATGTGTACAGCATATTTATAAAATAAAAAAAATATTAAAGAATGCCAAAAATATGTAAAATGTATGATTCCATTCAAAATATTTACTTTCCAAAGTAAAATAAAGGTATCAACTTTTCTTTTTTATGTAAAAGAATGAATAGAAAAATTTGTTTTACATTACTATTATTATAGACTAAAATTGAGAACTACAAAATCAACTGATATCAAAAAATATTTTTCAGATTATTTATCTTAAGGTTTTTTTTTAATCTTTCATTGAATTTAATTTATAGCTTTTATTCCTTCAGAAGACTGTGATCAGCAAATCCAGAATGAATATTACCAAGACTGAAGGAATAAATATTTAATTGTAATATTAATTTCACTAAACAATGAATAGAATTAGAATTATCAAAATAGTGGACCTATAAGAAACCTAGTATTTAGCAGAACAAAATTTCACGAACAAATTTTCTGCCTAAATTTTAGGATATATATATGAAATCACTGCTTTATTCTTTTGAGTAGAAAGAAATGACTTCCTTAAAAATCTAACAGAAAATCATGCTTTTGTCTCCTATAAATTCTCTCTCTATTGCACAAATTTAAAATTTATCATTTTCATAGATACAGTAGCACCTCGTTTTAATGTGCTTGTTGGAAGAAAAACAAAAGTGCATTATAACAGAATACTAAAAATTCTGGGTTTATACTAAACAAAATATACATGCTATGGAATCTCTATCCCCTATTCTTTCATCAGCATGTGTTTCTGATATAAATAGTTTTAGTTTTTCAATACTGAATTTTATTCATGGTTTATGTAAATGTCAATTAATACAATTATTGTATTAATTGACATTTACATAAACATGAATACTATGAATGCCCATTTAACATTATTGTTCGTTTAACAATAACATTTAAAGACAAATGCTGTGGATATAAAAACAAAATATCAGTTGCAATTTTATTATACAGTGCTATATTTCATAATAAATCAAATATTTTTCAATAAAAATTATACACAATTGAAAATTTAAAAAATAAACAATGAACATATAATAGAACATCAAAACATAAATTTACAGAGTAAATTCTTTAAAAGCAAAATAAAGTTACTATTGTATAAAAATTTTAGAACTTTCAGTTCAGAAATAATAAAATCTTTTCATTACACATTATGCAGTGAATGTGTAATAGAGATATCTATAATAGAAAAGGGACTAATATACAATAAATGTTAAAAATATTTGCTGTAAAAATTAACTTCATACATATTAAAAAAAATCATTAATGATTAGCAGAAACATGAAAAATTTTTTTGAAAAGAATCTGTTATAAATAAACAACTTATTCATCATCATTTTTTAATTCAGCAGAAAATTTGTTAAATATTAAATAAGCATTTACTTTATAATAGTCATTTTAATTAGGCAATTATTTTCAGATATCCTAATTTAATATTTTAACAGTAGCATAAGATAACATATTCAGTTGGCATAATTAAATAGGTTAATGTACCAATCTTTCAATTTGATATTTGAAATAATTTCTACCTTAACCTAATTTAGTTGGAAATCATTTTAGTATGACATTCAGCTATTAAGTGAGAGAATAAACATTTGATATCAATTATATAATTTGCTAACCAAGTTATAAGATGTTTAAAAATAGAGTTAGATATATATAATGGTATCTAAAATAATAATAGATCAATATTACAGAATAAATACTCCCATCATAATTATGCATTACAGTATTAAAGGTGATCAAGACATATATGATATCGCTACTTATGATTTTTAAGTTTTGGTTTGTACTGTAACTATAGAATAATTATTATTAATGATTATAACAAGAAAAACTAGAGATTTTTGAATCTCAAATATTAAATTTTTAATGTCAACAGCTGTTAATCATTCATATAATAATAATAATATTAAAATTTATAATAATAATAATAATATTATTATTATTATTATAAATTCTAAACAATTTAAACATAATTTTAATATGCCACTTACTTAAAAACATTTTGTTATTAAATTAAGCAATCATTTACCACAAAATTATTACTTTAACTCGACATTATCATCTCTTACATAATTTCAGATCTATATTTTTGATAAAAATGATATAGAACAGGCTATTAAATTACCTGGGCTTGATGACTGGGTGATGTTTCCACATCACTTTTTAAACTACTTTGTCTATGTGCTGATCCAATGCTCCCCCTGTAACCTTTAGTTGGTGGTGGAGGCAACTGACCTGGAATTTGTCCACTTTGCCTGCTGCCTTCAGTGATTCCAAAGTTTACTTAAAGTTATAAAAAAAATATCATAAACAACATGCACATGTAAATAAATAATTTCAAAAAAATCAATAGATGAAAGTGTTATTGAATTAGAGCTTTTTTTTTTTTGATATAATTTATTGTAATAAAGTTTAGTTCACAAGATCTACTTTTTATTATTACATTTATAATTATTATTTTAAAAGATATTACTTTTAAAATTATAAATAAGGAATTAAAAAAAGAAAATATTTCCTATATCATAGTTTTCAATAATGCCCTTTTTTATGCTTTTGTTAGGTTATTTACCAGAATCATTTCCTCTTCCAAATTTTGGCAATGGTACTTCCATACCTAAAATAAATAAATTATAATTACCAGTAATACAAATCAATGCAAAGATTATTCACATATGATAAACTCTAATAGTTAGGACTTATAAATGGTATTTATTAATTGAAATGACTTAATTATTTTATAAATTAATGTTCATTATAAATATCAAACTCTACTGAAATCAAATATCTATTATAAATACATACTTGAATTCAAAATCTCCAATTTAACTGGAAGACCTGTCTGTGCTGCAGCTATTAACTTCAGAGCAATATAAAACTGACTTCTGCCAAAGTGTCCTAANTTTATATATATATATAAATTAACATTTTTGGAAATTTAAAGTGTATTTTATTATATACTTACAATGTGCCTAAGATTTCATATAAAATTTTAAAACTATTAAATCACTGTTTTAATCAATTTTTTTGACTGACTAATTTGTAACTACAGTAGAGCATCGATTATCCGACCCCTGATTAACTGTCACATCGGTTAACCGACCATTCTAGTCAGCAAATTCAAATGTCCGTTAGTGATGTGGCGCTACAATATTTGGCTATGTCTTGGCTACTTTAATAGTATTTTTACGTGTTTTAGCTGGCAACACTCCTTCGACCATGAAAGGGAGCCAGTATTTAAATGAGGCTTAATTTTCTAATTTTTAACGATACAATAGCGACAATTATTATTTTAAAAAAGTTTTTGTTAAGCTTAACATCAATGAAAATTCAACGTGAAGTAGGTTAATAGCAATATACTAATATACTAATTACATGAGATATACTAATATACTATACTAATAATGTATTTTTTCATATTTTTCGGTTATCTGTTTTTTCAGTTATCCGACAAACCACAGTTCCCAATTGAGTTGGATAATCGATGCTCTACTGTAGAGTAATAGTCAATAGGTATGATGTGTAAATATTTAATTTTTAAATACATTAATACAGTAACTGAGAACTTATAAATAATATATAAGTAATAAATGGGTAAAATTTATACATGTAATTAATTCAAGATCAAACATTGGCTGCTTAATAATTTAAGTTCTTTATAGTAAATTAGCCAGCAAATTTCATACTACAGTAAATAGAAAAATGATCATTTTCAGTGCTAGAAAATAGAATTATTATTTAGCAATAGAAGCATAATTGTATACTGCAATAACAAAAAGTTAAGACTTTAGACTATGAAAAAATAAAAAAAAATTAAAATTTACTAAATAAACAAAAAATTTTGTCATACCAGTAACACAACGTTTTAACAAAATACAAAAGCTTTTGACCTGTTGAGGTCTACACAATTAAAATTTAAGTATAAGAAATATTTAACAATAAAAGATATAGAAATATAAAACTAAAAGGAGAAATTATATTATATGTCATCTCTCTTATTTTGCCCAAATAAATATCTCGAGAAAAAACACTTATTGTAAATAACATATTAAAAGTTAACAGATTGTATTTGACAAGCAAACAATTAACTCTTAGTAAACGAATCAGAAATGTGTAGGAGCTACTAAAAAGATTTGATATAGAATTTCAGTATTTTAAATACTACAATGAACATTAGAACAGCATTAGTTTGTAAAAAAACATTAATAAATATAAGACCATTATTCATTATTCAAAAATTATTGATTTCTAAAAACCTATAAAAATATGCATTAAAAATTAACAAACTGTTTTAAATATTAGTCAAACTTTGTATGTATCAAATAAAATAAAAGTAAAAGTCAGAACTAATGAGAAAAGTTTAGAAAACATATCTTGTACATAATTTATAAATGAATGAATAAATCAAAACATTTATACAACTATTACTTAAGTATTCTAAATATCATTGCATTTATTCAGAGACATACATAGATAAATCTAAAACATTTTTTCTAATGTATATTTCCTAATTTTCTTACAATGCTTCTAATTTTTAATTTATGTTTCTATGCTCCTCTCTTAAATTTTTTTTAATAAAAATTATGTAAGATTTAATGGTATCAGTTTAAACTGTTTTGAAAATTTTTTATAGTATTTTGTTCAGATGTTACTGTTATGTATAAAAATATGAATTAATTATGTTTAGAAATTACCTACCTCTATTGTAATGATATATTGCCACATTATTCAATTTATATACTAATTTTGAAATTAATAAGTATTTACTACTAATCAAGAAAAAATTTTCATTAATAAAAACTTTTCCAAAAATCAAAATTTTTATTAATTATTAAAGTGCTTTATTTTTCTGATTAAATGCAATACATTTATCATTATTAGATTATCTGAATCTTAATACATTTACTAACCTAATTATTTTCACATTAAGTAAACTGGATAATTCAGCAACTCATTGTTATTCAGGTAAAATGATTATAATCAAATTATATTGTTATAACTTTTGTAATATCCTTCATGAAAAGATAGTAAAATGAAATCTACTGAAACTATTTTTATAAATACAAAAAAGATACTATTGTTGAATGTTCAATTTTTATAATATGTATATGTAAAGCAATTATCAATAACAACTTGCATTAATGTTTCATTTGATTATTAAAATTATCAAATTTGAATAGCAAATAATCTTGAAACTTGATCAATAACAACTATAAATGAAATTAGTATTTAAATAATGTACCCCGAGAAAAGAGACAGTGATGTAAATGAGTATTTACATCGCTGTCTCTTTGATTGGTATTTGGAAATATAAAGATAAAAAAACAGAACAAAATATATTAACAAACTTTACCTCTGAATAATTAAGAATAATAACAATATAAAATGTGTTCATTTAATAAGAATTTTCACAAAAATACATTAACTGTGATGATAATGGAAAAGAAAAATAGTATATAACAGATTTGAAATTCATTTTTCTTTTTATTTTTTTTAATTGTAAATATTATGATATATAGTTATAATAATGACTTTGTTACAAGTATACGTGCACATATTGTTTTTATTATTTTGTGAATATTCTATTTATCCTAATTATTGTTGAATTCTTAATATAGTTTTTAATGCATGTATAATTGTTAAAAGGGAGGCAGAAATCCACTGTCTATAGACATTTCCTTTTGATTGTATAATAAATAATAAATAAAATCATTTGCAATTTAGGATAATAGGATCAAGCTAAAATTGGCAATGTTTAAGATGTATTTACATAAAAAAATACAAATATATCTAACTATCACGTGGAAATCTTATTACTTGTACATAAAATTACAAAAATAAAGCATACTATTAAAGACTTCTTTCATAATAGTACTGTATTTGTATTTACAATGAAAGAAAATAATAAAAATCTCTGAAGCTTAAAATTCTGAATCAACAGAATATAATATTTATGAATTATTATTATATAAAATTAAAAAATCTAAACTTCACCTGATGTAAAGTTTCAGTTGGAAGTTGAGATGCTAGAAAAAGCTCAGAAGCCTTCGTGCCAGATATTTTCCCTTGATTTTCTATGTCACAGCAAGAAAACAATTCACCAAAATATCGCTGCTCTGCTTCTGTTAACTTTAAACTGACAGCTTCCATTATTAGCTATGTAAAATTTAAAATAAATTTTACTTAATTGTTTTATTACAATAAATCAATTTACAAATGTAATTTATATATCAACAAGATGACAGAAATAAATTCATGTATTACTTAAAGTTTTTGTCAAATTCTTCATTTTCTTTTCTCTTGAAGGTTGTTACTTTAACATACTTAAAGTAACAACATAAAAATTCAAATAAATACTTATAAAATAATCACTGAAAAATCTAGTTTGGTGGTATATAGTAATTAAGTATGCATTTGATTTTTTACATTACTATGCTTATATACACTATTGGAGAACACAATAGAAATTTTAGGAGTCAAAGCTTTTTTATTGAATGAAACAGTTTTTGAGACCTTTCCATCTTATCATCAAACCCAAATATTTGAAAAATGGAAATTTGAAAGAGAACATTAAGTATCTTCCATTGAGAATTTAAAAGGTTCAAATGCATGGACAGTATTTTAAGTGTTTTTATCTAATAAAAAAGCTTTGACTTCTAAAATTTGTGATGTTTTTGTTTTCTCCTGAAGTTATGTGAACTCAAACTAGTTATTGTCAAACTCCAATTATCTGAAATGAACTCATAAGTGAATATACTACTTTCTTACACTATAATTCACAAAAGAAAGCTTAAAATGATAACACACATTACAAAATGATTCGTTTCTGTTATCTTTTATCATAGATAATATAAAACCATGCTTTCTGAATATGCATGTTATACGGAATAATGCCGCAACATGGAAGTGTCTTATATTTAATTTCTAAATGCTGGCATGAAGCGAACTATATTTTCATATCTTTTATCATTTTGCTTCAATGTCAGATAAATCATTCACATTAAAATATAACTATAACAACACATTTTTCCATTCTTAAAACTATTGTACAGTACAGATTATGTGTATAATAAATGATGTAAAAATTATTCTTAATATGATTAAATTCACTAAGGTATAGAAAGAGTTTAAAGTGATATACCATATAAATCTTTTGTATTGGGAATTTTTAATCTGAAATAGTGGTTGATAGCTATCTGTATTAACTAAATTTTTGGTTATCTGAGTGGTTACCTTTGGTCCACATTACCTCAGTTAATTGGAGTTATACTGTATATTTATTATTTAAATAATGCAAATTATTGTGAATGGATTATTTGAAAGGCTTGAGCTGAATGATAAACTTCTTTAATTGGCATATCAATAAACAAATTGCAAATATAAACATCTGTAAGCCCAACAGTTATATTAAAGCTAAATGATTGCCATATTATATTGGGCTATATTACTACTACTATTATTAATAATTAAATGCTAAGTAATTTGGCTAAGAGGTAGGCATTAAATATTATCTCCTATTAAATTTAATAATTATAACTAAATTAATATTTATTAAGTTAGAAGGTTCTGGAAGAAAAGAATCACCCCAGAATTGGATTTGAACCTACAACTGGTGCCCACACCTCTGTATGATCTCTAGGTCATATTACTTAGATTTTTGGCCTAGAGATGGTATTTAATTAATGCAAAACTTTTAGCCAAATTACTTAGCATTTAATTATTAATTAATTAATAATGGTAGTAATACAACCCAATCTAATCTGGCAATCTTTTGTCTTTAACAAACAATTACATCATATTTATTTCAATTATTGTATATCTAATTAATACTGTTAAGGGATGGATTATATAATTAACACACACAAGAGAATTATTGATTCATATCAGAGGATTTTCCTTGATTCAATTTTAATAATTATTAATCTTAAATATGAGAAAATCATTTGAATTCCTTTCAACTACAATAACTTGAATTTAGCATGTAACATGAAAACAACTTACATTCAGTCTTCAGTCTTCCTAGTTAAAGGCTCCTATCAATTTCATAAGTTTATTAATACAGCATTTATCTCTTGTATATGAAGGGTATACATACAGCATATCCATGACCACATTAAGGTTACAGTTAAAAATTATTCAGAATTGTGTGTGTAATAATGATTATTCAGCATCAAAAATTAATTACTTAAATAACAAAATTAAGTGCAAGTTGTTTCCATTGAAAACCTATGATATGTTCCCCATATATTTTGCAGGCAGTATAATTTCATTTATAATTTCAATATCCTAAATGTTAATAGAAATATTGAAATTATGTAAGAACCTTTCTTTATAGTAACCAATATCATCATTACCTATATTGTACAAATTTTGCTGTAAATATAGGATAGGTGAGAGAGAGAGAGAGAGAGAAAGAGAAAAAATGAGAATCAGGTGTGTATATTCAGACACTCAAAACCTTCAGACCTCAAACCAAGACAGCAAAATAAATTTAATTATTTATTAAATTTATGAACATTTCCAGTCATTTTTAAAGACCACTCTCAGGTAGAATCAAATTTGAACTTAGCAAAAATAAAATATAATGGATAATTTTCTGAACATGGAATAGTTTGTCAATTGGTTTAAATTAAAATAATACAGTAGAGCCTCGATTATCCGACTCAATTGGGGACTGGGGTTGGTCGAATAATTGAAAAGTCAGATAACCGAAAAGTATGAAAAAATCCATTATTAGTGTAGTACAGTGGTTCCCAACCTTTTTTCATTAGCGTACCCCGTGACATGCCATATCTCTAGATTGTACCCCGTGACATGTCATATCTCTAGATTGTACCCCTCATTTAAGAAATTTAGTGAGTAACCGTATTGTTAATTTTACATATTGTAACTTTAAATTAAAGAAAAAAAAACTAAAAGAAAAAATGTATAATAAAGTTGTGATTGTTGCAAAGAACATTATTTATCTAATATTTTTTAATACTATTAGTTTGTGATACATAATATATTATTTTTTCTGCCATAATAACTAACTTTTTTCTGTACCCCTAAACAACCTATCGCGTACCCCTAGGGGTACGCGTACCACAGGTTGGGAATCGCTGGTGTAGTATATTATTATAACCCATGTAATTAGTATATCGCTATTAACCTACTTCGCGTTGAATTTTCATCGATGTTAAGGCTAACAAAATTTTTTTATCGCTATTGTATCGTTAAAAATTAGAAAATTAAGCCTCGTTTAAATACTGGCTCCCTTTCATGGTCGAATGAGTGTTGCCAGCTAAAACACAAAAATAATATTAAAGTAGCCAAGACATAGCCAAATATTGTAGAGCCACATCACTAGCGGACATTTGAAATTTGCTGACTAGGACGGTCGGTTAACCGAGGTGTCAGTTAATCGGGGGTCGGATAATCGAGGCTCCACTGTAATATAAATGATTGAAAACATCCATAATTAAATTGTTTTTGCTGTCTTTAAAAATTGTGTGTGTCTGAATTTACATATTTGCAGTTTCTACTTTTATCAGGCGTGTTTATCATTTCATTAGAAAAACCAGAAACATCACTTTAGTGTATATTAATACAATAAAAAGAGAAACATACAGAACAAAAAAAATATAAAGCTGAAGAAAACCACAGCTCTAGCCATTTTAGCCTCAGAGGAGAATTACAAACAGGTGAGATGAAATTATTGTTCCACATAGAAGCTTTATGTATGAAAACTAACAGTGATGTAATGTTTCTATAGTAAAATTTTCAAGTGTATAAAATTACATTGTTTCTTCTCTGCAAATCATTTAATATTCTTCAAAATATTGTAGGATAAAATAATTGCAAATATTTTATTTTGTTTGTGTCATAACTAACTTAAATCATCCAAAGAAAATATTTGAATTTGTTTGTCTTTTAAACACTCAACTAAAAAGCTTTAATTGTAAATAAGTGAAAGTACAGTACTTTTATTATTTCTTGAATAGAAATCAATTAGTATCATGTACAGTAGAGCATAGATTATCTGAATATCAATCAACTGAAACATCGATTAACCGAAAGTGTTCCAATTGGCAATTTAAATTTCCGCTAGTGCTGTGGCACTGCAATATTTGGCTATGTCTTGGGCTACTCCAATATTTTTTTTTGTTGGTGTGCATGTTTTAGCTGGCAACACTGGCGAGACCATGAGAGAGTACTTAAGGATGTGCCAGGATTTGAATGAATTTCAACATGGGATAGGTTAATATATTTTTTCGTACATAATCAGTTATCCGAAAAATCAATCATATGAACAACCCTAGTCCTAAATTGTTTCGGATAAAGGATGCTCTACTGTATTTTGTGAAACCGTTTTCTTTCTGTTAACTTTCTTCTTTATTTTGTGGAAAATTAGTTTAATTTGGGATTTGTAAACATGTAGTTTTGTGTTTTACTAAATCAGACTATCTTACTTTGATAATTCAATTTCCAACAAGCAATTATTTGTCACATTGTCACAATGCTGGGCTGCAATTTTTAATCATATTTTTAATTTATTTAATTTAAAATATATGCTCTCCACCTCATTAGTACTGTAGTATCTTGTCCCTGTACATCACAGTTTTCTTTTAACAATATAGTTGTGCCCGTCATCTATCTAACTTCTTTTGGAAAAAATTTTTGAATTGAAATTATGTGACTTCTGGTTTTACCTTAAGTTCATATGTAGTTAATCGGGGCCTCCTGCCCCTAAGGTTTCCATATCTGGTCTATCTAACTCTGTTCTGAAGATTAAGGAAAGAAAGATGGACGGATGACAGTGAGAATTTATAGGTCTACAATTTTTTCAAATCGCAGCCCATAAAGTAACATGTAGGTAACAAAATAGAAATTCTAATAATAATTTTGTACTGATTTATTGCTTTTATTTGTTATTTAATTATTATTTATTACTCTCTCTTTTACATGATCAATAAATATGCATTATGATAATAAATGTTATAATTACCTTTTACCTAAAACTGTTGAATTTTGTAAACATGACTAATTAGTTGGAAATGACAAATGTCTGATAAAAAATCACAATGCAATAAAAATTTATATATATAGAAATTTTCCTTACATATTTAATTTTTAAAAATATTATTATTTTATCAATTTTTCTGAAAAAAAAAATA